GAATAGTACAGGCCACTGTGATCCTGGAGTTACTGATTTCAGGATCGTTGAAGAGGAAAATGAGCTTGGGCACCAATTGCGCCCGGTGGGCAACTGCAGCGTTCTGACATCCATCTCTGTAAGAAAGCACAGTGACTATTAAAAGCTTTTACTGGAAAGAACCAAAATTTGCTGGGTTTCAGCTAAAAGGATTCTCAGGTTGCACTGATACTTTGCACCTTTGGCTTCTAATGTTGCCTTGGCAACACTTCAAACACTGTCAGACAAATTGAATATGTGTCAGCGATGGAGATCTGAAGATTTCTTTGTGTGTTCTCTACCCTTCCTATCTGCCCTCTCCCCCCAGAAACTGCTGCATTTCAAGGAGTTCAAAGAAAACAACATTATTGAATTTTCAAGCAGTGAGTTGGCAGTAATAAACGTTATTCCTGTAAAACTCAGCAAGGGACACCACAGAGCTCTGCACAGAGCTTTCTGGCACCAAAAAGAAGGAATCTAGCACCCTGCTCCACTCATCCCCTCGCCCATGCTGTGTCTCTTTGGGTACATTTAGCTCTAGTACAGCTGATGAGGGAAGATACTGTTATAAAAAAGCCTTCCTGGGTTGTGTTTTGGGTTTAAACACAACTTCAATAATAATTTTTTTATTATTATTTCATATTTGATTCAAAGATTCCATTTTCCCCTCCCCAGCAGACTGTTGAACTTTAACTGTATGGCATTGGTTTCATGTGAACCAGGTCACCAGGTAGCATTTCCCAGTCTGGCCCCACAGACATCTCAGAGGGTGGCCAAATCACTAACTCCAGCCTTGAAAGAGCAATATAGGAATGATTACTCCTAAAGTCCTCCGATTCCAACTAAGATTGGACCCTTCAAATCCACCTCCAGTTCCAGCTCCATGTTACAGGTGAACTTGTCCCACATGTTTCCAATTCAAGCACGAGTTTGTGTACCTGGAGGACTGCAAGATCTCCACGAGATGTGAAAAAAGTGTAAGGTCAAGATTTTCTGGTGCTTTCATCCAAAGCTGCAAGGCAAAGGAAAACAGGGGTTTTACTGCTCTGCAGAGCTGAGAGGACAGTAACCTGTGGCAGAGAAGCTGTTACAAGTTGTTCCAGGAGGACAACATCATAAACTCCCAGTTGTTTCTGCAATGACAACCTGCAGACACTGGAAAATCCCGGCCAGCATGAGAAGTTGCTGCTCCTGAGGTATTCCTGAGGAGCAGATCCTTGGGGTCTGCAGGAGCACTCCAGAAACTGTACTGGAGCACAGTGGGGGAGCTGTGGTGACAGAGGACCTGCCATTCCAGGAGCTACCACCTCCCCAGGTGAGGTGGATCCAGATAATGGATCCAGGAGGTGCTATGAACAAGCCATCTTTAATACAGCCAAACCCACAAACTAAAATCAGCAGTTTTACCTCAAAGTTGCAGAGAACATAATGGAATGCACTGTAATTCTTGATGACTGAAGACTCAAAGCCAAGCTCTGCTGTGCCCACGAGGGAGAACATTAACTGCAGAATCCTGTTGTTTAACAGCTGTGTCTTCCTCTTCAATAGGTAGGTCAGCAGCTGAAAAAAAAGAATTTAATAAATATCTTTTGAGTATCAATCTGTATACATAAACTAACATATAATACTTTTTAAATTTAAGACAAACGCAGAGTTCGCTTGGCTGTAATAGACATACATCTTATGTAAGCATCATGAAGAAAGTGAAGATCTCATTCCAGGCATATAATTTTGTGCAGAAAGTGAAAGGGTAAGTTTTTGAAGGAGTTTGACAACTCTGTGGCATCAAACAGGAGCAAGATACATGCCATATTATGTCAAATGGAATTTACAAAAAGCAACATACAAATATAATTGTAAATAAGCACAGTAGGTTTTCTAGATAATTCTTCATAGATGTATTCTTAGTTGCTTGCAAATGGTGATAGCTTAAAAACAAAGTAATGTAATGTTGGCGTCTTCAAATAAAAGACATTTCTGTGAAACTGCCAGTTTCTCAACTGAGTCTATCTTTTCTTTATTCAATGAATTCCTGATACAGTGAGAAAAATGTTCAGAAAGCCACTACACTTTGAATAGGGTGGGAGAAGTAGACATTCATTTGAAAATACATATTAAGACATGTTTTTATTAGTTGGCTGTAAAAAAAAGGTTTAGAGAGCCAAACAAAGAGCAAACCCACACCATTGCAGCATGATGATTAGTCAGGTGGAGAGAGCACTATTTAGCACAAAGTCAAAAGGAACAGCTCTTACACGAGCTAAAGGCTGGCACTCACCTACAAGACAGACTGGGCAAGCAATGTCTAAGTACAATAAATATCCTCATATGAATCGGGATCAATTTATAAACAATTCACAAATGGGGAAAATAGAGAGTTTATAATAAGTCATGCGTGAAGCCCTAATTTCAAGAGTCTTGTTTGGAAGTCTTCTTTGTTCCATAAGACTCTGCCCAGCCTACGCAGCATAATGTAGATGATACTGAACTCAAACATCACACTTGAGCCTTAATCCAGGCAATACTACATATAGTGCTTAAACCCAAACTCTTCAGTCTGCACAGATTTCAGGTCTGAAAGATGAATTTAGGACAGACAATGAAATCTAGACAACACTTGTTTATATCAACACAATTCCTAATACACAGGTTAAGTGCCTATCGCCAGATCGGTTCATTGCCATTGATGGGTTTTGGGATGAAGTTCTCCAACAGAGAGACTATAATGAGAATAAATGAACAAAGGAATATCTACCTGGTATCCATGCATGTGCCTCATCAATTTTTCACTCATTGGGCTACTGTTGAGGATGGAGTTGAGGACTTTGACAGCTGCATACATGGTGTGGTCATCACGGGCCATAGCAATGAGACCCAGGAGAATGGCAGGGCCTCCAATGAAGTTCAGGCTGGTAGCTGCTGGAGAGGACTGGAACACTCTCACCCCTAGGAAATTGCAGCGTTACTCTACCAGGAAGTTACATGGACTAAATCTGTTATTGGACAGAGAAAGGCCCAACTCTTAAAAAATATGAAACGCTAAGGCATAGTGCATTTACCATATTGGCCCACAGCAACTGACCCAATAGTCCGCAAGGAACCCGAGAGGTGTCCAGCAATATTCTTAGCTAGGAATATTGGAGTTGAACTGTCCCGAGAGCTAATCCCAATCTAAAACAGATAAAAGAGACATTGTAAGAAAAACCGTGGTGGTACCGAGGAGACAAAAAGTAACAGCCAGATGGTCTAATACCTTAGATTATTTTATTAATTTTAGACCATTTTCATTCAAGGTTGATTGTTAGGACAAACATTCACCCACCCAAAATATCCCACAGCCCCACTACTTCAACATGTCAGTAGGCCTGGCATTGGCAAGAATGTTAGAATAGCATGTGAAGGGTCATTGTGAAGGTCATTAAGAAATCACAGACTGAAATGAATTATCATTAGACCTGAAAACTATGGCTTCTGTTGCTGCTTCACAAAAGGCTTTTAACATTGTGTTCATACTGTCCAATCTATTCCTCTCCACAGATAAAAACAAAACTGTGAGTAGAACAGGGTTAAGGAAGGGGAAGAAAAGCTGGAAAAAAAAACCCTGAAGGTATGTAACTAAGACAAAGTCACTAACTTTACTCTAGGAAACCAATCAGAAACAAGAGAAAATGTGTTTAAGACAAATAATGGAAATTTGTGACCTCTTTGGCAATCAGCCGGCCATCTACTTCATTGTAGGAGCTCTTTATATCTTGGACCGTAGTGAGAGATGAGCACGTGGCATTGATTCCAAAAGAAATCTTCTCTTCTGCCACCAGAGGTGTAGGATTATGATCACTGTACTTGTCCTCACCTAAAACAAGAGAGATTATAAAACTCTAAAGGAATTTTGCATGCTCAATATTCAAGACAGGAGAGAGGCAGATGTAAAACAAGTGGAGGAAACCATAGTTTAGAGAGAAATCTGATTTTCACTTAACGGTATTCAGAAAAAAGCCTTGACCCTGTACAACACAGTCCACAGCATCTTGCCAGGGCTGTATTTTGACATAATTTTTCTTTCAGCAACTCCTTCCAATGCTTGGGAATTTCTGTTGTCCAGATAGACAGCATTCTGAGTATTTTCAGCCAAGCTTTTCACTCTGCTTTAGGCTGGAGCATCATCAGGTGAGACTATTTTGCTCTTTTCAAATGGGAGATGACCATCCCATTTCATTCTGAGCTCTAGCAGAGAGGTGAAGGTACTACTTGTTGAGCAAACAGTAATCAATAACTGAAATGTTTTGTCTGCCTGTTTAATAATTGAAGCTAACAGTACACTTTAGTTAAAAAGCCTCTTCATTAAATGGAATGTAACTTATTCCCCTACCCTTCTCTCCCCAGTGCTCTCTCCTACTCTGCAGGCATTTGCAATTAAAGATGATGATGCTTCTTTTTCTGCAGCACCATAAATGCAGAATGTCTCAGTTAAAGCTGCTGCTTTAATGTTTGTCCAACAGAAACTGCAATCTTACATCTCCTCAAGGACATGTTATCCCTCTTTACTCTCCAGCTCTCTCTGCTGCTTGACTCCTGCCCTTCTTTTTCTGTTCCATTTAGAGTATGTTACAAGATCCTCACTGTCTCTTGCTACAATCTTGTACAACACTCAGCAAGGCAGAGTTCCAGGCTTTTAGAGTGAGCTCCAGGCACAGCTGGAATACTAACAGCAAATTATAAAACTAAAAGGAGTGTTTGCCCTGACAAACAGTGGTGAAGATGGGAATTATCACATACCTTGAAGCTGTACTGCTTGGAAATTGCTACAATACTGTGGCCCAAGCTTATTAATCACCTCTGTGGTTTCCACAGAGATGGCTTCTTCAAATAAGTACATAGGGCCAAGGCGCCAGGTCAAGGAGGACTTCTGTTTCCAGATTCGAGGAGTAGCTATGTACCCATAGACATCAATAAAGGAAGTGGGTTCCATGGAAATGCAGCTGCCTGGTAAGGGCTGGAGATACTGCATCTGCAACAGAGGAAGAATTCACTGAGGACACCCAATACACTCAGGGTGTCTTAAGGTCTTGTCCCTGGAAAGTACTGCCTGCCCCCTCTTTCCTCAATGAAGTCTCAGTCAGCAAAGCAACACAGTTAGGAACTATTGTTTACAAATTGGACTTTCTGAAGTATCACAAACATAAGCATTTTGTAAGATCAAGCCTATGTTTTGTTCAAGAACCACAGAAAAAAAACCCTGTCTTAACCCCAGACTTGTTTTTCCTGTTCTAAACGCCATAACTCAGACTGTGACTTTCAACACAGACAGCCAAGTTACAGTGAGCACCTCCTACCATGCACCTAAAGAACAAACAGGTTTTGAAACAGTGTTGAAATGCATGAGTTAGCTTTAGTTAAAGTGACATAGTTTAGGAAATTGGACCATTGCTACCATTTCTTTTTGGTATCAAAATAAGGATTCAGCCTCCTAAACTGAATTTATTACTTTATTTAAATGTGGAGAGCTCTAGTATGTAGCATTTGGATTTATTTTTTTTAGTAGAGAGAAACTATATTGTACTTCAGGCTCAGACCTGCCTTTAACAAAGTACCACAAACATAAGCATTTTGTAAAGATCAAGCCTATGTTTTGTTCAAGAAAAACAGAAAAAAAAAAAGCCAACACTATTTTAACCGCAGACTTATTTTTCCTGTTCTAAACTCCATAACTCAGACTGTGACTTTCAACACAGACAGCCAAGTTACAGTGAGCACCTCCTACCATGCACCTAAAGAACAAACAGGTTTTGAAACAGTGTTGAAATGCATGAGTTAGCTTTAGTTAAAGTGACATAGTTTAGGAAATTGGACCATTGCTACCATTTCTTTTTGGTATCAAAATAAGGATTCAGCCTCCTAAACTGAATTTATTATTTTATTTAAATGTGGACAGCTCTAATATGTAGCAGTTGGATATTTTTTTTGGTAGAGAGAAACTGTATTGTACTTCAGGCTCAGACCTGCCTTTAACAATTTGCTGTGAGGATAAGAGACCCCAAAAATTTCCTGATCTCTGAGTACTGAGATGTAGAAGCACCACCCACCCCCAGTTCCACCGCCCTAAAATAGCTTTTGGTATTGTTAACAACCTTTGTGCAATTCTAACTTCTTACACAAACTCTTCTTCACCATACACATCAAGATGAAGGCTTGCATCCTCTCAGAGACCCCAGCACTGGGACCATCTTTTATTTACTAAATTCTTGTTTTATTTATTATGAACTGCTTCACCGTATGTTAAACACATTTGCTGTGAATTCTTTAATCAATTGCAATGCTTAGGCCTAGTTTTATTGATGACTTTCAGTCTCATTTGAAGGAAGGCAAATTAAATTAAATTTTCATTCTTGAAATGGATATAGGTCCCAAAAGGCATTTAGAAGACAGATCATTTTTCTCAAGTATGGGAAAGAGAATATTTGGAATTAAACAGGTTGCTTTTACAAGGGAAGTATAAAACACACAAGTGAGCTTTGCATGTGTTGAGATTGATTTGAAATATGGGAACAAGGAGGAAGAAACCAAGGTTACAAGATCCAATTAATAAGAGGATTCTATTCAAAAACAAAACCAAAAAGACACTACACCAGACAGCTGCAACAGAAACAGGCTGCATTTTCAACGTTGCTGCTCTGAAACATTCAAAATACGAGTATCAAATCGCAGAAATAATTTGAGATTAGCTACAAAACCAGGAGCATGATGATAATGATAACATAAACCAGCGGTTCTTCTCATTTATCCTGTGGTTTATGAACCCTTCAGGTGCATTTGGATTGCTTTCTTGTGATAACTCATGCAACCTCAGAAATTCCCCATTTGAGAACTGACTCCTGTGTAACAACAAGCAATGGAGCAGTAGGGGAAGTAGTAGCTACACCAACATTTGCAATTATAGCACTGAAATTTACCAACTTCTCTTAATTGAAGCATTTCTTTCATTTCTATTTACTCAAAAAAGAATTATTATTTTAATCCAAGAGCTATCACACATTGAACACCTATCTGTTCCTGAATGCTTAGAGTGCCAGTGAGGAAAAGGCCACTGGTTGTCCACCGGGTGTAAGAGGAAGAGGACAGCTCCAAATGTGCCTGTGTAAGATGCTTGAGGAAACACCATCCACCATGGGATCCTTGCAAAGAGCTGACCAGTCACAGAAGCTTACTTCTTTATGACCTTTCCTCTTTTCCAAGCCTTTCTTCAAAAATTGAAGCTCCCCTTATCACTCATCACCTTTGTAAGTTTTAGACTAAATCCAAAGCACCTTCAGTTTAGGGTTCTCTGATCACAAATTAATGTGATGTACTTTTTACAGATGAAAACATCTGAAAATCTTGGGAGTAAACTGCATGTGCCTCAAAATCACTAACCAATTCAGAAAATTCTGGCTTCAGGGTACAACTGAATTTCATCAGTATAACCCTGAGCCACCTGTAAACTGGGTAACCCCAACTCTCAAATGAACGTCACCACTCAAAATTGCCCTGGTTATCTGCATGCTGAGGGGGGAACTACTTCAAAGCATTAGTATAAACTGGTAACATAATTCTGAAAAGCAGCACAGATACTTTTTGTATGGATTTCTGACTCCATTCAAGCACAGGGCAGAGTGGCACGTGTTAATATATGCAAATCATCATGCTTTGAGTCTCAGGTTAATACTGAAGAGTCATGGTATGTGCATGGGGAAATGAAAATGAAAAGCAAATGTCAGGCACAAGGCCTACACAGAGAGCCTTTACCTTCGCAGAGCCCAGCATCTGAGCATTTATATAAGCTGACACAATGCAGCTCTTCTTTGCTTCCTTAGCAACTGTCACTGTGAGATGATGCCACTGGCCAGTCACCACCAGGTTGCCACAGCCAAACTGGACTTGCCCTGGAAATGGGGAGGGATTCAGGACCTCACCCTCAGGTTCCATGATATCTGTAACAGCAAAAAGAGAGGGCAGTCAATAGAAAGTCTCTCTTACCTTCCCTTCCCTCTGAAACACACTATCAAATATGACACAAAGAACGTGACTCTGTAGGTGGGGAGCAACTTGGTGCTGTTCTGTTCAATGTCTTCAAAACGTTCCCTGAAGGTCTGTTACCAGGACCTGAAACTTGCACAACTCTCCCTCCAGTGTGCCATACTCCTAAATAACACCTTCCAGCTGCCTCGATGCTGCAAAATCAGGCTGAACTGGGACAAAACCAACATATTTCAAGAGGAGAACCCCTCAGGATATTCACTGAGTCAACCAACACAGAAAACAAAGTGAATTCATGAGATGATAAAACTCTGTGTAGTTTTTATGGAAAGAGGCAAGCTGGGATTTGTAACCTCATCTAAGGGAATCAGAGCCCTCCCACAATGTCAGCTGTGCATGAAAAATCCCAGCTACTATTCCCACTCCATTTCCAACCTCCTCTGCAATGTTCAATCACATTCACATTTGAAGTACCTACTCTGCTCAATAAGGGGAAAGGGATAAATGTCAATAAGGCAAAAAGATTAATAGTCTGGCATGATAGAAAACATTCTAAAAGCTTGACTGAGAAGAGCCTTACCGAGTGGCTGGAATTCCACCTCTTCTGTGGAAATGACCAAAGAACGGTCCTGTGGGAAGAAGCTCACTGAAAAACAAACAAATTCTTGCTCTGTTCTTGACATGTGCCTCACGACCGTGAGGAAACGGAGCGGGTGACTGTTGTGCACCAAACCAAACCTGCTCACAAGAAACCAGCAGGAGAGCGACAGGCCACTTGAGGGAGGGAACATCCTGGTGCCTGTGGACAGGAAACAAAAAGGCAGTAAGGAAGCTGGTTTCCTGCTTTGTTTCATTTGTAGCCCCAACCATACAAGACCCAACATTAGAAAATGAAGTTTAATTTCCATTCTTTTCTATTACATTTCCGTGCCTATCTTCAATAACATAGAGACTGGGCATATGAGTGTGTGCACATGTATAAATGACTTAAACTGACTAATGAGAAGTGACTACTCCATGCCATGGAGCTTATAAATTTGGAAGCACTTAGCCAGAAGCGAGTCTTCCCAAAGCTGACTAAACTGAGAAAGCAAAAGGTACAGCCATGACCTAGTTCATGCAATAGAAGATTCTGATCTACAGGAGTATCCTATTTTGTGTTCAGTGACAGTTTCTATTCCTTCCATGGGAGATTACCCTAAAATCTGGTGGCTCTTACTTGCTAAGACTTGCAATCCTATGACTCTATGGAAGTGCTTACCCATGCCAATTCCTCCTGAGACAGATTGCTCTGCACTGGGTCCCAGGACAGTGGCCAAGGTAGGGAGGTATAAACACCTACAAAAGCAAGCAAGCACCCATTCATCAGAAATGCAAAATCATTCCTGAAGGTCGTCTGTGACTTAATACTGCAGAACCACTATTGCAAAGCAGAGTCTATGCTATCACAATAAGACAATAATTAAATAGGTTGGCAAAATTACTGCAAGGCAGGCAGCAATAGGGCACAAGGAATGACTAAGATGGAGAAAAAAAGCGATTAGTTGCTGTCTCCAGAATAAGGGGTTGAATACTGCAGAGCAGCTAAAGAGAAAAGCAACAGCAGCAATACCCATATCCTTCCATGGACATGTCACATTCATCAGAAATGCAAAATCATCCCTGAAGGTCGTCTGTGACTTAATACTGCAGAACCACTATTGCAAAGCAGAGTCTATGCTATCACAATAAGACAATAATTAAATAGGTTGGCAAAATTACTGCAAGGCAGGCAGCAATAGGGCACAAGGAATGACTAAGATGGAGAAAAAAAGCGATTAGTTGCTGTCTCCAGAATAAGGGGTTGAATACTGCAGAGCAGCTAAAGAGAAAAGCAACAGCAGCAATACCCATATCCTTCCATGGACATGTCAAACTCCACAAATGATGGAGCCAGAGCAGCGCTGCGGAGCTGGAAGTGTCGAGGGGACGTCATGGAGATGAGAGTCATTGCAGTCTGGAGTGCCAGAGTAGATCCCTTAGACACCCAAGGAGAGCTGCTGACAGGCACAACTGTCTGAGGATCAGTTTTACTGTCCACTGTGTCCTCTTCTGAACCTACAAGATCAACACAGTGCCTAGTCAGATCAGTGTCTGAGGTACTTTTTTCAATCACAGGCTGTGACCGTAATCAGTTTATCCCTGGTAAGAACAGCTTCTTCAAATAACAGTTCCCCAGCAGCCTGAAGAAATCCTCAGCCACACACAAAAGTGTCGCACTGAAGGAATTTCAAAACGGGAAGCTGGGAGGAGAGTTTAGCTGACAGAAATGATAGCCATATTTTCTCCCCACACATCCTCAGGCAGTTCTAAATTTCACCTTTGGTAAAAAAAAAAAAAAACAAAAAACAGTTCCCGACCCATTGGTTCCATTTTCTTTATACACAGACCATTCGATTCTTCTATAACAGAATAACCACCAACACGTGGGAAAGGATCTGAAGAATGACTGCAAAGAACATAAACCCCAAATTTGCACCATGCTCTATCAGGTGTCTTATCAGCATGAGAACAGTTTAGGCACCAAATACTACTACTATAGCCTTTCATTTGCAAGGACTTGGATGGAAAATGGCCTGCATGAGCAAGGAATGTCTTCAAAACGTTCCCTGAAGGTCTGTTACCAGGACCTGAAACTTGCACAACTCTCCCTCCAGTGTGCCATACTCCTAAATAACACCTTCCAGCTGCCTCGATGCTGCAAAATCAGGCTGAACTGGGACAAAACCAACATATTTCAAGAGGAGAACCCCTCAGGATATTCACTGAGTCAACCAACACAGAAAACAAAGTGAATTCATGAGATGATAAAACTCTGTGTAGTTTTTATGGAAAGAGGCAAGCTGGGATTTGTAACCTCATCTAAGGGAATCAGAGCCCTCCCACAATGTCAGCTGTGCATGAAAAATCCCAGCTACTATTCCCACTCCATTTCCAACCTCCTCTGCAATGTTCAATCACATTCACATTTGAAGTACCTACTCTGCTCAATAAGGGGAAAGGGATAAATGTCAATAAGGCAAAAAGATTAATAGTCTGGCATGATAGAAAACATTCTAAAAGCTTGACTGAGAAGAGCCTTACCGAGTGGCTGGAATTCCACCTCTTCTGTGGAAATGACCAAAGAACGGTCCTGTGGGAAGAAGCTCACTGAAAAACAAACAAATTCTTGCTCTGTTCTTGACATGTGCCTCACGACCGTGAGGAAACGGAGCGGGTGACTGTTGTGCACCAAACCAAACCTGCTCACAAGAAACCAGCAGGAGAGCGACAGGCCACTTGAGGGAGGGAACATCCTGGTGCCTGTGGACAGGAAACAAAAAGGCAGTAAGGAAGCTGGTTTCCTGCTTTGTTTCATTTGTAGCCCAAACCATACAAGACGCAACATTAGAAAATGAGGTTTAATTTCCATTCTTTTCTATTACATTTCCATGCCTATCTTCAATAACACAGAGACTGGACATATGAGTGTGTGCACATGCATATATGACTTAAATTGACTAATGAGAAGCGACCACTAGATCTCCATGCCATGGAGCTTATCAGTTGGGAAGCACTGAGCCAGAAGTGAGTCTTCCCAAAGCTGACTAAACTGAGAAAGCAAAAGGTACAGCCATGACCTAGTTCATGCAATAGAAGATTCTGATCTACACGAGTATCCTATTTTGTGTTCAGTGACAGTTTCTATTCCTTCCATGGGAGATTACCCTAAAATCTGGTGGCTCTTACTTGCTAAGACTTGCAATCCTATGACTCTATGGAAGTGCTTACCCATGCCAATTCCTCCTGAGACAGATTGCTCTGCACTGGGTCCCAGGACAGTGGCCAAGGTAGGGAGGTATAAACACCTACAAAAGCAAGCAAGCACCCATTCATCAGAAATGCAAAATCATCCCTGAAGGTCGTCTGTGACTTAATACTGCAGAACCACTATTGCAAAGCAGAGTCTATGCTATCACAATAAGACAATAATTAAATAGGTTGGCAAAATTGCTGCAAGGCAGGCAGCAATAAGGCACAAGGATTGACTAAGATGGAGAAAAAAAGCGATGAGTTGCTGTCTTCAGAATAAGGGGTTGAATACTTCACAGCAGCTAAAGAGAAAAGCAACAGCAGCAATACCCATATCCTTCCATGGACATGTCAAACTCCACAAATGATGGAGCCAGAGCAGCGCTGCGGAGCTGGAAGTGTCGAGGGGACGTCATGGAGATGAGAGTCATTGCAGTCTGGAGTGCCAGAGTAGATCCCTTAGACACCCAAGGAGAGCTGCTGACAGGCACAACTGTCTGAGGATCAGTTTTACTGTCCACTGTGTCCTCTTCTGAACCTACAAGATCAACACAGTGCCTAGTCAGATCAGTGTCTGAGGTACTTTTTTCAATCACAGGCTGTGACCGTAATCAGTTTATCCCTGGTAAGAACAGCTTCTTCAAATAACAGTTCCCCAGCAGCCTGAAGAAATCCTCAGCCACACACAAAAGTGTCGCACTGAAGGAATTTCAAAACGGGAAGCTGGGAGGAGAGTTTAGCTGACAGAAATGATAGCCATATTTTCTCCCCACACATCCTCAGGCAGTTCTAAATTTCACCTTTGGTAAAAAAAAAAAAAAACAAAAAACAGTTCCCGACCCATTGGTTCCATTTTCTTTATACACAGACCATTCGATTCTTCTATAACAGAATAACCACCAACACGTGGGAAAGGATCTGAAGAATGACTGCAAAGAACATAAACCCCAAATTTGCACCATGCTCTATCAGGTGTCTTATCAGCATGAGAACAGTTTAGGCACCAAATACTACTACTATAGCCTTTCATTTGCAAGGACTTGGATGGAAAATGGCCTGCATGAGCAAGGTAGACTACTGGGATATCTTAAGGATTACAAAAAGCAGTGTTTTTTATTCACATCTTCATTTTATTTCTGGCTATAAATGACAGGGAAAACATGCTTTGTGGAATAAGATTAATATTTTTGTAGATAGCTTCCATGTCTGTCTTGGAGCAACCTACTTCAACAGCAGTTTCCTGTCATTACAGAGACATCCTAAACCAAGCCCCTGTCCTTCCATCACAGAGACATCTACAACTCATCCACCGTATCAGCATCAGGCTGTTCATTGTGTGTTTACCTTTACTCCAAGCTGCATTAGCTGAATCACATGAAAGGGCATCAGTCTTGCTTTTGCTGGGCCTGGAAGGCAGTGGTGGAGAACCTCCCAACCAAAGAAATTGCCTAATGTGAAAAAAAAAAAAAAGAAGAAATCAACCAAAAAATAGGAAAATATTTAAGCCAGACACTTTGGAGTCATAGCAACCACACAAATACAGCTCAGCCCTCTGGGACCAACTTCTTTATTGGATACTAGATTTTAAAAACATCCCAAGAAATGTTTTCCACGGTATCATCACAAGTATTTGTTTTGTTCTACACTCCCTTTTCATGGTTTTTCTATTGACAAAAGAACCACAGGTTTATTTTCTTCAGCAATACTTTTAAATACTAATTTTTCAGAAAAAAATCTATGGGTTTTTTTTGGGGGGGTGAGGTGGTAGGTGTTTTTCTGTTGTTGTTGTGAGGGTTTTTTTGTTTGCTCATTTCTAAGAAACTCTGTTCCATTTTTGAGTAAAATAAATCCAGTCTTCCACTGCATATCCAGCTTCATCTGCACTCTGATCTCCATTTGGTTCTCTCATGCCTAATATTAGTTAGCATTAAAGAAAGTACCTCCTCAAAGGAGAAACAAGAGAGACTGGGAAACAAGGCTACATTTTTTAATTTTGCAACTGTCATTGACACAGATCTGAGACCAGAAAAAGTCACTTTTACTCTTCAGGAAGGAGCTTCACCATTTGAATACCAGGAGAGTTGTTTTGTGATTACTTAATTAGTTACCACACCTAAAAAGCTTTACAAACCTTGCAGAGATGATGCAGCAGAACACTACAGGCTCTTACCACCCTCAGTAAGTCATTTAAGTATCTACCCTGTGATCAATATGTAAGTATTAACTGAGATTGAAACAAAAGGCTAAGAGTCTTGCTGAATTAGAGCACTACGTGAAGTATCCAATTATTACACAAACCTTGCAGAAAATTTGCACCACTAAGGGAAACTGGTTGCATTAGACACAATGTGATACCTCAACACATCCGGCTCGATAGCCTGCGAGGCGAGTTTCTCAAACACCCTGGTGAGGGGCAGGTGGAGCGGGTGGCTCTGGTTGCGGAAGGCGTCCTGGCAGGAGGTGACGATGGTGCTCAGCAAACCAGACCCACACATCACCTGGCGGCTCTTCTCCGACTTCACCAGAGACTGGATATGGTCGACCACAGCACATTGGATTTCCTGCGAGAGCTGAAACGGGCACAGAACTGAAGTCACTGGGCTGGAACTGATACTGTACATGGTAATTGATTTTTTATTATTTTTTTTTTCCAATTTTCTAACCTTTGGGTATAAAAATCTGGCCCAGAAAAGATGCCTCTAGGGCCAGGGGCTCAAGTGTAACTACGTAGCTCTTCTATAAAGCTCTACACCTGAATAGTGTGAGCGTATCCACCTGAGGAGTTGATTGGCCACCCACAGCTGAGCTTTCCTGCCCCTACACCATGGTGGTGAAGGAAGAAAACTATTAACTTTTATTCAAAAGAAGCGACCACCACCAAGGACAGGTTATCAGGCATAAACTCCAGGACCAACACAGTAACTCAGAATATATTTAATATTAAGCACATGTAGAGTCATCTCAACATGATCTACTCCGTTCTAAAAACCTTGCTCTTAAACAACACTGTATCCAGCAATATCATGAAGTACTTAAATTTTAAACACTTCTCATGGCCATTGTAGAGTATATCCACCTGAGGAGTTGATTGGCCACCCACAGCTGAGCTTTCCTGCCCCTACACCATGGTGGTGAAGGAAGAAAACTATTAACTTTTATTCAAAAGAAGCGACCACCACCAAGGACAGGTTATCAGGCATAAACTCCAGGACCAACACAGTAACTCAGAATATATTTAATATTAAGCACATGTAGAGTCATCTCAACGTGATCTACTCCATTCTAAAAGCCTTGTTCTTAAACAACACTGTATCCAGCAATATCATGAAGTACTTAAATTTTAAACACTTCTCTACATGTTTTGCTGAATTGAAACTTTACTTCATTATTGCTTCTTAATGTTCTTAAAGAAATATCTGAGTTCTCATAAATTATCTTCAGAGCAATTGGTTCCCAACTAGGAAGGGAGCCTACCCCATTGACCTAACCAGATTTCACAGTAAAGTAACTGGGCATCATATATTTAAACACAAATCTTAAAAATATTAGATGTGCCCCACCCCCAAGAGCTTTCTGGATTTCTCATATGCTCTTCTAGGAAATATCTATGCAAACTTCTAAAGAAAAGGACAATAGTGGTGGCAAATGTGCAGACTGGGACATTAGGATTTGATTTTATAACATGAATAAGAGGCAACTTCACTGGATTCAGAATAAGCTGCTTTATTAAACGTAAATAGGAATTCAGCTCCTTTGCATCCAGACCAAACTCAAAGCCAGTACAGAACAAATTCAAAGCCAATAACTCATTTATTTCCAAAGCGCTCAGCAACCAAAAGCCCCATTTGCAACCCTTAGACAATTACACCAGCGCATTCAACACAACATACATGTTATTTTTGTAAACTCAGCTACTATTTTTGATATCTGAAAGGCAAGTTTTCTTCTCTTTGAAGGACTGTCCATTCCCAGTGACACAAGTTTCACTTTGCATCTCATTAAATACAGAAACCACCCACCAAACTGAACCAGACTACTCTTCACAGAGAGGCACTTACTGCTACAGTGCATCAAAGCCTCACTTACAACTTTATGGATCTTTTAATTACTGTTTTACTCCATTTATGCTGGATGCATAAAACCACACGAAAACAGAGAAGGACACAGGTCTTGACTAAGCAAAACTACTGGTTTACTCCAAAATAAATCCAATAAAAGCATAATGGCATATGAAAAAATTGATCATTTTCATTAGCTTAGCAGCTTCGTCAATACCAGTATTGTCTTGTTTTGAATAAAACGCGCTGTTTTCATGGATCTTAGTTCCAGTAAAATGAGATTTTAGTGGAAACATTAATGGTGGCCAGGAAACCAGGCTGCGTGTTTCTATATGCATGGATTGATTTTCCCAACACGTATTACTTGCCCCATGAATCAGGATATTGAAGTTAGAATGTTGCTGGGCTCACAGCTCTGCCTCAGCTTGGAGTCTCAATGGCAACATTTACCCAATCTGTTTAAGTAGTTCCCTGATTCTTGCTCTCAAGAGCCCATAGTTCCAAAACTTGGTAGCTTGTCTCTGAACTTCAGAGACACTGGCTGCTTTTTAAGGAGAAAGTGAATAGCAAGAGAAAGAGGACAAATAAAAGAGCAGGCTGTGGGTCTGGAAGCACAGGAGGAAAATTGCTTGGTCTGTATAACCAGTGAAAGCTTCAGAAGTTGGGTGATCGATGAACAAGCAAACTTCTTACTAAAAGCCCCAAAATAACCTTGGAAAAGAACATGCAGACAGGCTGTGCATTTTCTTTGAAAAAAAACAACCAAACAAACCTACTCACTCTGCGATAAGAACAGGCTCAGCAAAGAAAAATCCCCCAGGAGACAAGGCTGGAGCAAAGCCCGCAGGAAAGTGCTCAGGGGAAAGAGCTGACCTTCAGCTTCCAGCCCAGACTGCAGGACCTACTGCCAGGGTGTCTCTGATCTCCTTCCTGCTACCAGAGCTCTGGTCCAGTCTCCTTTTCTTTGTCCCAAAGCCTTGGTTGCACAACCCAAAGGGGAATGAAGTTATGGCCAAATAGCCAAAGAATTTCGGAATTCACTGTGATATTAATACTTACATTAGCAGTGATATTAGTAATATATGTCTGAAAGCAGACAAATCTCAAACATCACACAGTCTTTTGTGGGTTGTATCTTACTATATCAGAGACCTTTTCAGTTGTCTTCTGTGGGTCGTATCTTACTATATCAGAGACCTTTTCAGTTTAGGAAGAATTTACATTTTTTAAAAGTACAAATACTTGGGAAGCATTATGCTGTTCACACCTGCAGTGAGAACAGCTAGCTCAGGCAAAATTTAAAACAGAGATAAGGGTCTTTTTAAAAGTTGCAAAACCCTTATTGATGCACAATGTTTTAGTTTCACAACTGTGAATATGACAGCAGTTCATCATAGGAGAGACATGGATAAAAATAGAGAGGAGGAATCCAGCTGTGGAAGCAATAATATTATTGAACAAAAGTATAGATAATTTACATAACGAATCATGCGAAGGTTGGTGGTTTTTTTTTTTATCTTGTACTCACAAGAAACCTGCCAGGGTGATGATATAGAACTGAATTGTTCTTTGATTCTCTTCTTAAAAGTTCTTTTCTTTCCCTTACCCAACCCTGTCAGCTCTGGGAGATCTCCTTATCTGACATCACGAACAGAAAAAATCTGGCATCACAGTCGGGAGTCTTAAAAGCCACGGTTCCAAAATGCCAGCCAAGGATGAGATAGGTATGTCTGAGGGGAAGCTTCTTTCTTTTTAAGGTAGAAAAAAAACCCTGTGAACATCCCGAGCCACACATCTGAAGTGAATGTTCACATTTCTCACTTTAACTTGGTTTTTGACATATGTGACAATGGCATTTTTCATCACTGAACATGCAGCCTATTAATAAAAGGAAAATCCACCTTTTATTTGGTTTTATTTGGTTTGATGGGAACTAGATTAGTACCAGACCTGAGCATGAACACGTGCAATATCCTCTAAACACAATCTACTTACTCAAAGGCAGTCTCTTGGGGGGGTTTTAAGGCTTTTAAGCAAATTTTCATACCCGTATGACATTAAAATGATTTTTGATCATACCTAGGAATGGCAGTAACATACAGCCACAAATCTATTCTCCTAAGCTTTTAGCTGCCATTCTAGAGAGTCAGAAGAAATGGATGAAGTGCCAGACCCCCTGTTTTACTGTCTGCTGCTGGTTTTCCTGTGCTGACAGGCTCAGCATTGCTCCAGCCCATCACTGCTTGGGTCTGACAAAGGTTGGAAATTTGGTAGGAAACAAATATTATCTCTGAGGGTCAGAATCAAAGTACATTAATTTTATTGAATTACATTAATTTTTCTGTAAGAGCAGTGGGTTTTTTTGCCATTTCTGTGAAAGCAAAGGATTTGCACGTGACCTGAACTGATTCTGAAGATTTTTCCAGATGACTCCAGAACACCTGAAGCTAAAAGATCTACCACAGCCCTAAAACAAGCAGAAAGAGATGAGTTACTACCTGTCCTTCACCATGGCTCATAAAAAGTGTAATATTTGATTTGGGCTTAAACTCAGAGCAAGAAGCCCCCCAGATTTTTGAATGAAAGTCTACAGTCAAAAAGCTCCATCCACAAAGAAATGATTTCCTCTCTCGTACAGCTGTAAAACGCTGCTGCGCTAAAAGAAAGAACAGTACCCTGTTTGTGACTGAATAGATCTATTCAAAGGGATATTCCTTCAGTTTTTATCCTTTACTGAGTAGCTCCTCTTCACTAGCAAGTGAGGGTCCACCTTTTGTATCAGATCTTGCCTGACTCCCATGTTCCAAGTGGCACCTCATTCACAAGGGTTCATGCATGTTATGAGCAAAGGTACCGAAGTTCAGCCTTTTGTGTCACTCCCTGGTAGCATCAATGAGCTGCTGGACATGAGGTTCCACTCATTCCCTCATCCATTTTTAAACAGAATTAACCAGAAAAACCTCTATTTTTCCTCTCCTCTGTTTGTGGGTCATTTGATGAAAACTCTTCAAGACATGTGTTGACTCCTACCTGGAGCCAGGACCCCACATAACAGTGGTCCCATTTTACCTGAGGCAATCCTATTCACAACAGCAATCCTAAACAAATACTAGCAGTATTAATTTCTTGTTGACTAAGAAAAAAAAAGGAGTGAAAAAGAAGAAGAGATGAACTTGCTTAACTATATAACTGAAATTGCTGGAATTTGTGCTCTAACCCTTCATATTTTTAAGAACACTGCCATCTACTGAGGCTCTGAGAGGCTTTCTCTCTCCTACAGCTCAGCCCTAGAGCGAACGCTGGTAGTTTCTTGATGACACTCTCTCTCATCCAATTAACCATTCTACTTGTTTTTCAGAAATTAATTACTGTAATTAACAAAATCTCACTCGCTGCTGGCTTGGTTCCGCTACACAGAGCTGGGATGCGCTAGCAGTCAGTTGCACTCCCACCTTCCACAGCTCTGGGTGAACAATCTGGTTTTATTCCAATCTCTCCCTACGTACTTAAACCGTATCCAAGTATCTTAGACCAGACAGCAGATATAATATTGGCAGTATATTTGTTCAGAGGGGGCGTATGTATGGAAATTTTGATAAAGCAAAGCAGATTCTAAGCTGCATTGGAAGTTTATGGACCATTAGGCCTGAAGGGACAGACTGTTCTGGTTGCCGGGTCCATTAGCAATATTTTAAACAATTTTCAAGGGATTTTGACACTTGTGGTGCCTTTGCAGTAAATATTCTGGGACCAAGACCCATGCACTGCATCAGGCAGGTACAGAAACATTGAGTCAAACTGAGAGCCAAGAGCCTTTGTTCTCCTGACAGTTGTTGACTCCATGAAATTTGCACTGTTCTTTCTGCCAGTGTTCTAGGTAAATTTTAATACTTCCACATCTGCAAAGAGTATGCAATTTCCTGGAAATGAAGGAACAGAAAAGCAGAAGACGCTGCTCAGACGGCACTTTGATATGTTCAGACTCACCTGAGAGTGTCCCTCTTTGTACAGCCTTGGCAGCAACCTCACCATAACACAGACAGCTCCGGGATGTACAATGGCACAGTCTCCCATCTCCCACCTGCAGGAAGAAGACACATAAGACTTATCACCATAATTATCATTAACAACAGCAAAGAGGGTCCAAAAATGTTACAGTAGAGTCCAGCAGTAAATCCTCCCAGCAGTAACCAGGCTCAGCATGTGAAATCAAGTAAATACAGATGGCCTGGAAGAGCTGGAAGAGCCCCTAGAGTACCAAAGGCAGGACATAACCTGCCCATGAGCTCACAGCTCATGGACCTGCAGATTCAAAGATCACAGCAGCCTCTTTAAACAAACTTTGTCTTTGAAGGCACTTGCCGTACAGAGAACGGACAACTAGAGGGATCTCTCTGATGCATCAACCCAGAACCAGTGCTGCATTTTCTATTTTCAAGCAGTTTGTAGTTTTGGTCAGACAATAAATTCAGTACTTTCAAACTAGAAGAGCAATAAGCAAACAGTCTTGATGAACCCAGTATGCCACCGTTGCATTCCAACACCATATTCTGCCTAAACTAGTAAAAAAATAGTTAAATATCTCTGCTTCCCAATCAATTTTCATTTGTTTTGCCACGTATCACCTTTGTACATTCAGGCACAGGAGGGAACTGAGGCATCAGAGTTATGAGACAGAAGAGCAGCTTTTGCCATGAGGCAGGCTTGAGATCAGATATATCTCAAAGACACAGCACAGCAGTAACTCTAGTTCAGGCACTGCAGGCTCGTCGTGTTCAGACTATAATCAGCATTTCTGAGTGCACCTCTGAACCAGAGATCGGATGTGCGCTCTCAAAAACATCTGTCCCAAATAAATCTCGGGAGAAAAGCAGAGCCAACATCTAACAGCCATAATTAGACTGAAAAAAATAAAGCACAATATGCTTTATGGACTGCATAAAACAAAGGGTACAAGTAAAAGAGCTTAAAAAAAAAAAAAAAGAAGCTTTTACAAGCGACCTAAAGGAGAGTAAAAATGCTGCAATTAACTTTTTAGCCACTTCTAAAAAGGCTCATCTGATATATCAGAGCAGCAAGTAAGGTGTAGTGCACTGCCACACAGTGACAAATGATTCTTACTGCACCCTCAGGAAAGATACTGCCAAAGAAATTGTTCTTTTGCAATATTTTCTGTGTAATGAATCAAACCCAGATTTAGTATAAATGCTTACGGCAACAGTGGCTCCCGTGTGAACACATACATCTGTACTTGACATGAAGGTGGGTGAGTTTTTAAATGTCAAATAGGAACACAGAATCATAGAATTGCCCAGGTTGGAAGGGACTTTTAAGATCATTGAGTCCAACCATCAACCTAACTCTGATAAAAAAAAAATCACTAAACCATGTCTCAAAGCACTACATCAACCCATCTTTTAAATACCTCCAGGGTTGGTGCCTCAACCCCTTCTCTGGGCAGCCCATTCTAAGGCTTAATAACCCTTCAGTGCAAAAATTTTTCCTAATATCCACCCTAAACCTCTCCTGGTGCAACTTGAGGCCATAGTACACAGTAAGAATATACTCTCCTCCCATCTCCCTCAAAACACCCTAACCACCTTTAAAGAGAAAAATCCAGTCCCACCAGTATCAATAGGATCAAAATTTCAGTCTTTTTTTCCTGCTGTGGCTGCACCCCCTGAGCAAGTTCATTTTTAGCCTAAGCCACTGTATTCAAGGACTGACTTTCCAAACTTCAGAGTCCCTGACCAGCATCAAACTCAACTTCCCTGCCAGCACCACACGCTTTGTCCCCTCTAAGAACATCATATAAGCCTTATCTCCAGCCTATTCTGTGGTTTTTCCAAAAGGCCCTGATTTTCTGGCTTGTCTTAGTACAAAAGCTGTCTCCATGTACCAGCTCCTCTCTCCTGCCTCAGGGCTCCCCAGTCAGCCCCATGATTCCACTCCATCTATGCCACCAGCATCATGGTGTGAATCCCAAATCTGCTCTGCACTCACTGCTACTTGAAAGACAAATTAAAGGGTCTGAGGACAAAATGAGATGGCCCAAAGAACCTGAAGAGCCATTAGCGCAGCGAGTCTGTGGTAACAGCAGCCATTCTGCTAAGGTGGGCATGAAGAGGGGCTTCCCTCCCAAAGAGATGTCAGCCTCATTAACACAGCTTGCAGCAAGCTCTCGCTAATCACCAGGAGCAAAAAAGGAGAAACAGAGACCCCATGTGTCACAGGAGGTGTTTCAAACATCACAGGAGCAGGAACACAGAGGGCTGTCAAATGGGAATGAAAGGGTCAATTCCCCTGCAGCCCAGCAGCTTGCACCATCACCCAACCTGTCATTAAAATGCTGATTTTCCCCTCATTTCCCCTTTTCCAGGGATGTTAAATATATGTTGCAGGATGAGGCATCACAGGCCACCTACACTGATGGCCCTCAAGTTCCTCCTTTCACGTGGCACAGCCCCAGGCCGAAGCCTTCTTCAGGAGGAAGTGTGAGCCTGGAGTATAGCAATGAGGAAGCTGCCTCAGGGGAAGCACGGGTTTGGAGGAACTCCGGGAACTTGATTTCTTGTTTTTATTTTCAGAAAACTTCCTGCTGGAAAAGAACAGAGGCTGTGTGGCCTGAAGATTGATGGTCTGCCCATACACGCTCCTCTGCTGTGTTTGTATACACTTGTCCTGGACACTCTCCAGCCACCTCTGGCTTCCCTTTGTGCCTTCACATCCCAGAACCAAAGCCAAACTGTCCCAAACCAGACACTGGGAACTGAATGGATCACAATTTACGTGATTAATTTCCACTGATCTACTCTTGCTCCAGTATCTTCCCCAAGCCTCCCTTACCCAACCGCCCACAGCTGCGGGCTGTGGACTTCTCACAACCACCACCATCCAGACACTTTCCACACATGTATCCATGTTCTCCCAAACAGGGCCAGGAAGATCTACTTTGAAAAGAGTACTTGTTCCTCCTGAGCCACCAAGTCCTCTCCCCAGTGCTGATTATTTTGTTATTGATTCACAGCTACTTTGATTTCTGGTGTAGTCTCTCCTTCCTGCAAAGGTTATATATTTCAATATAATCCTTCATTAGATGAGGCAGGCAGCACTACTATTCCTTTTCCAATTTTCTCTATTTCAGCTGTATGAGCAAGAATGTGTGTCTGTACACATGTGCCTGAACACACACACAGGGGAGGATTCGAAATAACTGAAAATAGTTTTTATTTTTAACATATCAGGTGACTGGAAACAGCTTTCCACGTAACTGAAAAAGTCAAAATTGATTGGGGTAGATTCAAGCAGAGACTAAATCCAAGCTTCAAGTCCCAGCAACCCTTTCCTTAGAGCTCAGTCCTGTTCCTGCACTGCACGTCAGAATCTTCAGCACAAACTCTGCAACTCTCAGGGTTGTGTGTCCCACTGCTCCACTGAACATTTATACCCCAACATTTACCATCATCTACCTTTCAAAAAGAGATCACTTCTGCTTTCCAGAGGCCTAGGAGTTGGGACTATGGCACAGATGTGTTTGTTCTAGGCAGGTTATGTCACACCTTATCTCAGTTTACTAGCATATAAAATGCAGATACCTGTCTTACTATTATATTTCCTGTAGTAAATAAAGACTTACTTCTCTTCAGGGTTTCCCCATAACCTATGGGAAGAGGCAGAAAATTTATTGCCTGGTCTTTTCAAAGCAACAGAATGTTCTTCTTGAGCTTGGGGTCCCTCCTGATCAGTTCTCAAGGTATCTCCCACCTCTGGCTTTCTCTCCTTGAAGTAGTTCTCTAGATGGAGAGTTCCTTTGACCATGTGATCAAGAAAATTCAGAATCCATATGCAGTTCTTTAGCCACATTGGGAAAGGTTCTGAAGAGCACAAAGCTGCATCCAAGAATTCTCCAAACGTCCTTGTCTTGTCAAGGCTCATAGACATTTGCCCTTCCCCTTGTGTCCAGAAGCATCCAAGTGACCCGAGATCCTCTGCCATCTTTTCAAAGAGACCATTCCTCTGGAAGAAGTTGCTGTTGACAGGGTCCAGGTGCAGGGCTGCTGTTATCCCCTGAAGTGTGAAGAACACGAGCTCCAGTACACAATTCTGTCCAACTGCTGCCCACAGCCCAGAGGGAGGGTCCTGCAATGCACCTTCCATGTCCGAGAGAAGTGACAGGAGCCCATTGAATCCACTGCAGGTTCTGAAAGCTGAATGGCTCTTGGGACTCTCCAGTACCCTCAGGAGTGACTACAAACATGGGGAAGAAAGGAGACAAAAGAAACACTTAAACCAAAGGACAAAGAAGCTTTAGAATATTTTAAAATTCCAAGTTTGTACCAGAACTCTTTCACTGAAATTTCACTCTCTTAAGAAAAAAATAAATTAACAAAACTTGTTCAAAGTAAAGGTCACCACTGCACGGCTGTTTTCCTCCTCCCTTCCCCAATATATCCAATGAGTCAAACAACCAAGACTGTGATGCACCCTCGGGAGCAATCCATGGAGTCAGCCTGAGGTAGGGAATAGTGCTCAGAGGAATAAGCAAAGAAATCTGATTTCTTGCATTACATATCCTAGTTAGTTTGGCCAGAGGTAGTGTCAGACCTTCTCAGACTCTCTCAAGTAATCTGTCTTTGCCTTAAATAAATGAAAACAAAGATTCAGTTGTAAAAAACCTCATACAGACACTGAGAAGGCAGCGCAGCTCACTATAGGCAAGTCTTCCTACAGCCCTGAATACACACGAGGGGCCACACTAGACTTGTGTTCATATGACCAAGCAGACCCTTTCCAAAAAAGTAACTGCACAGGATGGCCCAAAGAATACTGCAAGCAGCAGTCTCTCCTCGTTAAGGCAGGCAATAATAATTCCCTTGCTCAGCAGAGTTAGTTTTAAAGTTTGCACAACGCTTTGGAGGAAAAAGGCCATAAAGAGTCAGATCCCAAGATAATGAAGTCATTAGATTTTATCTAACTTCAATGAGTTAAAGCAGGTTATAAGTGAATCCCACTTGACAATATTACATATACATAAACCCCAGCCTATACCACTTGTAAGTTTTGAATGCTATGAACTTGCCATTTAAAAAAAAAAAAAAATCTAGAAAAATGATGAAGAGTTGTAGTAGTGGAAATAAAATCAGTGAGAAAAAAGAAGTTGCAAACAAACAGGCGGGTATATTTGAATGTAATCCATTTTGGGGATGTTGCACAGTTCATTTTGTAAATACAATGCTCTTTCCACCACCAGAGACCTTTCAAATTTGAGGCTGTACCTTTTCACATTGGAAAGGGCTAATTTCACATATAAAGTTTCCCAAGAGATATCCAATGACAGAAGTTCACTTCACAACCTGCTGAAGAGGAAAAGTTTCTAACATAAATATATCTCCCTGTAACAGGATCTAGGACTGTAAGAAAGGGTTGCCACAACTGGAGGGGGAGGGGGAACTCTATTACTGTCATTCAATTTTGCATGATAATGTATCAAACCAGGCAGAGACTTCTGAACAGGGAGTAAATTTAATAACTCAGAGTTGAAGTTATCAGGATGGCTTTAACACATTTCAGAGAAGGTCAACAGTAACCACATTTCCTCCAGCTCTAACTCAGTTAGAATTTAATCGCCTGTGAGTTAGTATTCCTCTGTCTCGAATCTATAAAACTGATGTCTGCTGGAAACCCCCTAACTCAGTTAAAGTTAACAGAATTTATTTCACATTCCATTATTTGTTATTCCTCATAATTGTCCACGTGCCACTCTGGAATACGGTGGTGCTAATTGCATTTGGGCTCAGGCTTTAACAGCTAAATATATATTAGCAAATCAATCTGAATTTGTGTGTAACACAATCACAGTCCCAGTCGATGTAGATAATAAATTCATTTGCTTACATTATGCCTTAATACAGTTATCATTTGTCAAAATTAAACACTGAAGCTGCATTTATTTTCATATTAGTTTGGGCACCCTACTCAACTTTTCCACAAATGGTGTTAAAGTTTTCTGTTTCAAACCTAAGCTATAAACTTTGTCACATTTTTGTTTGTGTTGTTTTGTTGGTTGTTTTTGTTTTTAAGTAACATGGTTCTTGTATCGCAGAAGCAGCTGCTGAAAGGTGAATTCAGTTCACACTTAGCAGAGAAGGTACCATGAAACTCTAAATCAGTGCTCACAACACTGCTGCTTTTCAACTTGATGCCTGTGATCGAAACCAAAATAAAACCCACCGATTCTTTCCCCTGCTTCATTGCTTATGGATCAGACCCTCTATAAACACAATAAAGCTATGAATAGTTCCAATTTCTTCCTCCAAACATTCGTAAGACTCCTTCTTTCCACCATCTCACATCTCTTTTTCCATGACACCAGTGTATGCAAGAGATGAAAAAATTAGACAGCAAAATTTCAACCTTGTGAAAATCATCACAATGAAACTGTTCATCTCATGCCTACCCTACCCCTTCCAATTTTACTCCTTCACGTGCTCCCTCCACATCTCCTCCACTTTCCTTCACATTTCTTACTCCTTCCCCTCTTCTCACGTGCTCTCTCCACATCTCCTCCACTTTCCTTCACATTTGTTTCTCCTTTCTCTGCCACGTTACATAGAACCACTCTTAGAACTGTGACCCTCACCATTCCAATATCTCTGCCCTGCATTACTATGCAAATCTTCAAAATACTTCACAATCTGATAGCAAGTGAAGGTGTTGACCACACACACATTGCTAAAAAAATCAAAGCACCCAATTTACCAGAGTCTAAAACTGGTCCATGGCTCTTTTTTCTTCTGCACTTACCTTTCAAGAAAAAACCACAGTGTTATGGGGGAGATTAAGAGCAATTCACCACAAACCAAGCATTTTTCAATAAACCAGCCGCCAAGTGGGAAGCTACCCCAATTACCTTCAGCAGATCGAGTTTCAGCTGTAGTTCCCCTTGAGTAGAAGAACAGAGGGCCCCAATAACAATGCTCATGTATTCTTCATAGTTGATGACTGATAGCTGCTCCAAGATGCTGAGAGTAGCACTCCGATAGCACTCATCATCCAAAAATATCTTGATATATGGCACCATTCCATAGTCCTTCAGAACAACTGGGAACAAATATGGTATCATTTGTTACTTAAACTAATTTTTACTTGTAGTTTTCACAGGCAGATATTCAGTGTTGGTGTAAAGTGCCACATTTCTACAAATACTGCAGGAGAGGCAAGAAGATCCAGTTAAGATGAAGATGACACAAACAGAATGGAACAAGAACCATTAGGGATAAAGTAACTGGATGACCATGGTTTCTAGTCATCCAAGATTACAGCTTCCCAATATAACAATGAATGAAAAGGAACAGATGCCTTATTAGTTTTCAGCTTAAACATCTCTTTAGTTCATGAAGGGGACTGTTTGATAGTTGGTGACAATATATTTGCAGTCATATGTCATATCTTACCCGTGTTCCTCACAGAGCCCACTGTAAGGGCAGCCACCATCTTCAGCATCACAGCATTTAATTCTTTCTGAGTGTCTTCTTCCAGACCAGGCACATGGGTTCCAGCTGCCAGTATATTAAAATTAATAATAAAATTTATACAAGACACAGTTAACTGTAATTAAAATATATTAAAGCAAAAAGGAACACCTATTCTCCAGCACATTCTAGTTTTCTCTTAAATATTACTTAGAGGCTATTTGAACTTTAAAATGAGCAACAAAATACAGACAGGGCATTGTCTAATCTGGGATTGGGAAACACAGGTCTGATTCTATGCTTTTCAGCCCATATCTCCTGCATAACTATAGGCAATACTGGTAACACTGGTGTTTCCACTTCCCAACTGATTAAGAGTTACCTGCTCAGTGATACCTGGTAGGGTAGGAACACACACAAATAAAGGATCTAATGCAGAGAAATTAATGCAAAGATAGAAGAAAGCCTTGGTATTTATCTTGCCAATCCTTATCTAAGTACTCTTGTACAAAACTCTAGTTCTCTGATATCAAGAATGTAAATCTAAGTGTCCTTGCAGGTAATGGATGTCTCCTCTCTGAAACTTCTGCTGCAATTCATATTCCTTCTGATGCTTGGAATAAATGTGTATAAATAATTCAACTGTGCCTGCTGCATCAGAATTTCTACCTAATACTTTGGGTCCCTCCTCCTTTACTTAAAAAACTACAATCGCACCGAAATTTAAAGGCATTTCCTAATTCATTCAACACAGAAAATGTTATCATGCATTTTTCTTTCTTTAAAATAGCAATTATAAACGTTTCAATATGCGAGTCTGTCCCCTAAGACAGCTGTACACCACAGTTACCGCACCAGGACTATTACCTTCCTGTTTTCATAATAGGAGACAACTATATCAGATGACAATAGGCAGTAGTAATTGTGGGTAATACATGCCCAAAATTCAAAAAAATTGCTTTCCATCATCAGTCCTCAGGATTGTGTTATTTTCAGAGAAACTAAGCGCTGTGGAAAACTCTTTCTTCCACTACTCTCACACTGCACCAGGACTATTACCTTTCTGTTTTCATAATAGGAGACAATTATATCAGATGACAATGGGCAGTAGTAATTGTGGGTAATACCCAAAATTAAAAAAAAATGCTTTCCATCATCAGTCCTCAGGACTGTGTTATTTTCAGAGGAACTAAGCACTGTGGAAAACTCTTTCTTCCACTACTCTCAAGCTGCTACCCTAGAGAACCCCAAATTGAGACCTGTCTAAAAGTGTGGGCTGAAGGGTACCCTACAGGATAATTCATCCTACACTGATGAAGAACAGCCCAGAAGCATTTAGGCCAGCAAATAGAACAATAAACAGATTTCAGTGAGGACCCAGCTTAGTATGTCATAAACTTAGGCCAGCTGGCTTGCAGACAAAATCTAGCTACTCAGTATATAAAATTTATAAATCAACTGTAGAAAAAGATACACACATTCCTATCGATCCACCTACTTCAGCAACCATTGTGAACGACATTAAGTTGTACCTGACTTCCTCAGGATCTTGGCTTGCTTCCTCAAAAGTGCCAACAGTAGGCCTAAGAGCCCAGAGTCACGGAATATGTCGCTGAATAATGGGTCCTTCTCAGTCATGCTGAGAAGGCACTGGAGAGCTGTTAAGGTGCAGAATGGCACTACGTTTTCCTTTATCAAATACTGAACCTTCTTCAAAATTTCATGGGGGATATAGGACAGGTCTAGCACTATGGATTCCACCAGTCTGAAGAACTGGACTTGGACCGGGTGTGGTTTGAAATGGATTATGTCAGTAAACTGGTTGATAGGTTGTAGTGTCCATTCCAGAAGGAAGAAGTTCACTCTGTCCCAGGCCCATATGGTACCAATGGCTTCCAAGACTCTTCCACACAGGTGCTGGTCATTGCTTTTCAGGAAAATGGACTGCAACACCTGAAAAGCCTGAAGGTTTTTCACTGTCATTCCTGTGGGATAAAACCAGGTGAGATCATTTTTACCTCAATGCCATTTAAGACAGCAAACACCATAATGTTAAATCACGTGTGAGAGTGGAAATAGGAGTCACAGACATGCAGAATGTGTTTGGGAGGCATGTACTCCACCTTGGCTCACACCTGACATGGTCAGCTCAGGTTCCTGGAGCATTAAGCACATGGATCAGAAGATGCCATCTCATACTCCTTTCTCCATCTTAAGACACATAATTCATAGAGCTTCACTTTTCTATGACCCACCTATATAGCCACACGTATATAAATATATACTGTACCAGATCGTGTCTGTTCAAAATCAAAGTGTGGTAATTGCGGGTGTACGATATTGCCAGAAACTTTCAGTTCAGTTTTTCCACAGGTTGTCAGGCAAGTCAGCATGTCCAAGACCTCATCCAGATAGGGGTCTTCTTCATTTTCCTGTAACCCCTCACATCTAGGAACAAATTTTGGGATTGTCATATGTTGATGCCATAGTAACACAAACATTCTTGGATATATCACCAGGTACCGAGCACACAGGAGCTACCTATTTTACTCCCTTATCCTCCCCAGACTCTTTTACTGTCTTCTTGTCTTATTTCTGTGACTTGTTTAACAATCTTACAAACAGTAACTCCACACCAGGGTGGCACATTCTGAATCAGAACAAAACCTACAAACTGAAGAAGAAAACTGAAGTGACACTGTAAGAAAAGGAAAATAAAACTTGGAATTTAGTCCAGTTATGTGTACTGAAAAAAGAAGTAGTTCTCTCCAAAAGAACACCTGCTTTGGGGAGTAAAAATTTAAATTGTCTGAGACATCAAAAAATTAAAGCAGATACTTCACATTAAAAGGTAGGCATATTGTTGGCAAGGTAAGGCACTTGCTAACTGAGATAAATAACAGAAAAATCACAGCCCCCAGGAAAGAAAAAATATTGTATTGCCTGAGTTTTGTGAATCAGACAGGAGGATGGCATGTCTCTCCTGCATAAGGAAATAGTTTAAACTGTAACCCCAGATTTGCCATAGTTTAGACTGAAGTGAGAGTCTGTCAAAGGGCAAAGAGCTGCTTATCTTGTTGTCCTATTCTGTACCGCTTAGAAGGGTCAGTTCTTAAGGAAAACTGTAGCATCTGGGCATGTGTTAGCAGCAGAACAATAGACTGATAGCAGAAGTTAGGAACATCACAGAAGAAAACAGAAAAAATATATTCTATTTTAATCTAAACAAGAAAAAAAAATAAGGCCAGAGCAAATGTTAGTATCCATTTTGACAAGAAAGAATGCAAACAGCAAGATTCTTTTTACCTGAAAAAGAAATTCCAGACATCAGAGGAGAGGAAAGCTAGTCACAGAGAACATTCAGGAAAGAAGCTCAATCTTATCCCTTCCAGCCAGTGTGTGCCGGGAAGGCAGACTAACCTGGAGCCCTGAGCACCTGTGTGCTATTTCTGTTTCTCCAGCCTAATTACATCAGTTAGAAAGGACAAGGGCAGTCCTAGCTCTTACTGATAAAGATCAGGTGTTCTGAAAATGAAGTTTTACCCTCCTCTTGAAGCCCACTAAAACCTCTCTACTTACCCGAGTAAAATTTTTAGCAGGAGTTGGTAGCCATCATTATTTTCAAACTCTGTTAATAAAGCTGATGATATGGGATAGGAATCTTTCACAAAGCACAAGACGATACTAGCAGCTTCACAGACATCACAAGGAGGTATGGTATCAACCAGCTTAAAGAGATTCTGAATAGCTATTTTAATGCAGTCCACAGCTGAGGGGAGAAAAAAATAAATAAAGCAGGCATTTAAGAATGGACTGTCAAACAAGTTCAAGGTTACTAACATAAGCAGAACAAGTTCTCAGTAAAATTTTTTTCCCAGTAAAATAGGAGTCAGTTAACTCTCTTTTCTACACAGAAAAGATAAGAGGATATATGAAACACCACCCATCTCAGAGGCTATATGAAGAACATTTCTGGTTTCAAAGCATGCGTGCATTTCTTTGCTTAATTCCCAGAAGCAGATTCACTCTCAAGAGTATAAACTTCCAACCCAGCCATTCACCAAAATTCATATATAGTGAATCCAAGGTAAGTGGAAGCTGACACATTTAATTGTATGTAACGGGGTACACACCTCTTGCTCTGAGCAATGAAACCTAGTCTTTCTTGTCTAGTCTGATGGCTGGTCCTTCCAGAACAGCTTCAAAATGTCTAAACAGTTCAGTACTGTTAGAACTATCATTCCTCAGTCCTTCAAGTCTCACCCAGGAAGCCAAATTTTTATTTAAAAAATAAATAAAGATACCTATATGCAAGTACTCCATGACAAGTAATACTGATAATAAAGAGTGGATAATAAAACTTCTTTTTCCTTCTAAGAAACTGAGACTCATGGCTTTTGAACTTCTTAATAATTAAAAAAAAATGCTGACTCTAATAAAGCCTAGAAGAAATGTCAATGCAATTCAACCACTTATGACGTGGTCCCAAAAGATACTGTCCCTCTAGCAGTGCCCTCAGCCTCGTATTTAGAGTGTGCATGAGCCTTAGACTCACACATTGAGTCAGACAACTTAAGAAAACCCATAATACATCTTTCCCTTCTCTACATTAGTGTGATCAGGAGGGACTGACTCTTGCCTGTAGTTTTATTTTTCGTGTAGAAAAAGCTTCAGTTTCCAGATGGCTACCAGTACTAAATAAAGCTCCTGTCTAGAAAGCCAAGAGCTCATGCTTTGCAGTTGACTCACTACCAGAATGATGTAGATATAAAAATCTGTCCCAGGGAGACTTTTCTTGAGAATTCATTCTCAGGGTAGCTACGAGGAAAGGAGAAGCAAAAATACTGAACCAAACCTTGTAGGTACACAATGCTGTTTTTGGTCTGAGCCTTTGAAATCGTTCTCAGCACACGGCCTGTTGGTACTTTCCATGAGGGGCTACACTGGTCCCAGAGGGAAGCAGTTGCTATAATTAATGACTGAAGCTTATCAGCTGCCAGAAGTTCCTCTACACCTTGTTTCTCTCTGTACAAGTTAAGCATTATCTGAAAAGCAAACAAACATCAGATACAATAAACACCTCCATAAAATATCTGGGAGATGAAGAAAAATCCATTGGGCTTAGGGATTATAGTTTGATGCTAATACCAGGAGAAAGGATGCAATGAAATGAACAAGTAAAATACCATTAGGATATTCTCAATGGACTTTTTCCCACTAAAAGTCATGTTGTTTTGTTTAACAAAACAAGTAATATAGTGGGATCATCTCAGTTTGTTTTATACTGTTCCTGATGCTTGTTCAATGGTTTTCAGTCCAAATTTGCTCCTGGTTTTTTTTTTGGCAGTTTGAATCAGTTACCAGCTAAAAGCCTTAGTGAACATCTGAGTAATCGGGGCAAATGAACTCCCAGAAACACATCTCACCTTAACAAGCATTTCCTGACTTTGAATGTCATCCTCACTTGTCTCTCTGTCATCACTGGTTTTCTTCAGAGGGAAAGTAAAGAAAAGGTACAGACACTGCATCAGAGCCGCGGGAAGGCCAGATCCAATGATGCTGCACACAGTTCTCTAAGTAAAGAAAATAAAAATCAGTCCCTCTAGAAGCTGACCACAGTTTCCCTGTGTTTCTGCACACTGCACACACCATGGCAGATGAAAGAGCTACTTGAGTATTTTATCCTTACAAGTGCTCTAGGACATACGAGCGCTGCAATCGAACAGCACGGCTCTACAAAGCCACTTGGCAGAAGCAAAGACACTGACCATGTGAGGCCAATTCTCCATGCCCTCCATGACCCAGCGTAGCAGCAACTTAGCTATAATGCCTTTGCTTTTGTAACATACTGAATAACTGCACACGCACTTCTAATTTTAGCTTTTATAAATGCAAGAGACACTGTTTCTCCACGATGTTTCTCAACACTTAGTTTCTTTCCATCTTCCCTACGGCTGTGTACAACTTACAGAGAAGTCCCAGCGTGCCTGCTCGGCACACAATAATCAGAACAAACATCAACAGCAAATTAAACAAAAGAGTGAAATTTGTGATATGAAGTTTTGTGTGTCCCCTACATAAAAAAACCAAACAATGTCTTAAATCTGTGAAAAACACAAACCTCATCAGGAACACAACCTTCAGGCTGTGACTAACTATAAATAATTTCACAGAGCTCCTTATGAGACAGAACATATCCACTAGAAGCTGACAGGAAGATTTTATTTTCATGTATCTGAATGAGGATGAGACAAACTGCTCAGCTCAACGCGAGGGTTAAATGCCCCCCTGGTGCCCATCAGCAGGCTGTACTGATGACACCAGCCTGCATTCAGGATGGCTGTACAAGTAAATTTTGTGAAATGCTTTTAAATGCTTCAAAGTGAGAGGCTACCAGGGTGGAAAATCCAACCACTGCATTACCAGGTAGACAGATCCTTCCTTTTTGATGTGTAAACCGCAGTGACAGAGGAAGGTTGAAGAGCAGTGATACACAATTGAAAACAAAAGTATACATCAGAGAAATAAAAGTTGCTTGATGATCAAAACAAAAAGGGTATCTGAAAGCACAGAGCGCTTACTTCCCTCTTTTAGGAAAGCCTGGACTATAAACCTGCTGGGGTGTTGTCTATCTGACTGTGTGCCCTGGGCATGCTGAATCACAAAGCATTGGGGAGAACGCAACCGATATGAGACTTGGGTGTTCCACTGCTGGGGTGGCTGCCCAGCTTTTCTGAAATAAAAAGGACAAAAAAAACCCCAAAACAAGACAAAACAACAAAAAAACCCATTTGTAGTCATTTCTCTTACCAAGTCAGTCTGTGAGAGTAGATACACGGATTTCAGGAGCAAACAGCCATCTTCTGCTTCCCCTTTTTGTTGCAGCAATTGCTCCAAAGCAAGACGAGCTTCCTCTGTTACCACAAAAACATTAAAGTTCAATTCCTCAATGAAAAATGAAAATGCTGCATTGATCCTTTCTGAGAAATTCAACAAAATTACAATAACAGGAGTCCACTGAATAGAAGGACATTAAAGGATTTTGATCCAGCATCAGGCTTAGGTCATAAAATCATAGAATGGTTTGGGTTGGAAAGGACCTTAAAGATTATCCAGTTCCAACCCCCCGGCCCTGGGAAAGGACACCTCCCACCAGACCATGTTGCTCAAAGCCCCATCCAGCCTGGTCTTTAACACTTCCAGGTTGGTTCAGGTAAACTAAGTGTTTCAAACAGTCCATCTTCACTGGGAATAGCAGCTCAGCTCATGAAGGCTGCCAGCTGACCAGTGCAAAGAACGTACACCAGCCACCAGGAAAGCCATGCGTGGCTAGAAGTATTTCTCTCATTAAATAAAGCTCCTCAGAATAGCATGTAGCCTACTCTTTTACTGCTTAGCTGCAGTATGATACATTTCCAGCTATAAAAATTTGAAAATCAAGGTCATTACAGCATACCAGCCCAGATCGTTAGTGCAATCATCCAGAACCAGTGCTAGCTCACACCTACTAAAAGATCTGGCTTGCTACACTTGGCATCGTCCTGCTCCCCCTTTATTGCCCTCATGATAAACACAGAGGACAGCTGAATGTCAGCACATTCCCAGAATAACTGGATCCAGTGGATATGGTTTGGGATCGTTACCTGCAGGTTTGCCATTGAGGTTCCTCTTAATTTCTTTTGTCAGAAGCTTGGAAACCTCACTGGCCAACAGCTGGATGTTGGGGAATACGATCGCTCCAGAGGACTGTTCCCAGGCCTGAAATCCAAGTGTAAATATTAAGTCTTTCAGATACAGCGTGCCTTTGGCAGATTGAGAAGCACTAATGAATATAAATAAACAAACATAAAGCTAATATTCCCCTGCAAATATCCCTCCCCAGCCAGTGTAGTCCATTAAGCAGCATTTGCCAGACAGGCAGGAGCCTGACACTACAGATGCAGAAGTCGACCTGGAACTACCTTTATAATCACATAATGCACATACTAGAGAGCATTTACATTATTTCCTCCACTGAATACAATCAAAACAAGGTAAATGATGCCATGGAAAAGATGTACTTCTAAAATGCTGAGATTATGACAGTAAATGTTTACTGGATCAGGATTTTTAAACATTTCCTGTGTTATAGCAAGCACGCCAAAATAGGAAGGCATAGTCCTATATGCATAGCTAGCCAAGGAAAACAAATTTACAGACAAGCTTATAAATTAATATAAATTATAAAATTTATAGACAAGCTTATAGACAAATTATAAATAAGTTTATAAATTACTTGTTAAAGAACAGACAAGCAATTCAATGCAAAACTGACAAGAGGAACAACAGCAAGACTTGATGATTCCCTGCTCTGAGTCTGACAAACAGATCCTTTCTCAAATACTTCCTAGCCTTGACTTTAGGGAGAAAAACAAAAATCAAAAGCAATAAAAAAAATATTCCAGTAGATTATTACTATGGCATTCAACTGGCCTCTGAGAATCAGGTACCATTACTTTTATACAGAACATCCAAGGCTACACACATCAATATATTAGGGATAGTGCAGCATTTGCCTCTAAATACCAGGCTGAGACACCTCTCTCCCCAGCAGCCTTGATAATTCTCTTTACAAAAGTCTCCTCCTGCTAAAAGCTCAGAAAAATCAAGCTGTAGGGCCATATGATGAAAGGGAAAAAAAAAATAATCAGACATCTGTTCTCCTAAAATGATTTGGAGCAGACACCCCGTAATACTGTCTGCCAAGAAATCAGTAAAACTCTTTGTGAAAGAAGATGCTCTATAAACATTATTTCCTTCCCTACCATTGCTTTCAATTACTTGTTCTTTCTTTGCTGATGGCAGCTCCTGGACAAGCTCTTTCTCTCCCCAGAGTGCCACTTGTCTGTCAGCAATCAGGAGAGCACCTACTTTTTACTTCATTTTACTGCACTGACCTCTGGAACTGCACTCAACTCCTTTTTTTGTAGGCTACAAAAGGGTGAAATGAAGTCACACAGTGTGCCTATCAAATAATTTTAAATCAGTCAACAATATTTTTTAAAAAATGCTAGTTTTTTCAGATGTTATCCATGAATTGTTTTCAGAGACCCTCAGCTGCAGGAACAAGGTCCTCTGATTCCTTCACTTCTGATGCAGAAGCGAGAGAAGATTTGCAAAGATTAGAAGCAAACTGGGCAAACACAGTGACAAGAAACCCACAGCCACCTCAGAATACACAGTGTTTGTTATTAAGCGGTATGCTTTTTCAGAGGAAAGCAGTGATAGATTCCTGCCCCTCTGCCTCAAAGAGGAAAACCCTCTGAACAATTCAGGAAGGATTTGTTATACTCATTTTTCTGCTAACAGAAAGAGCAGGGTAAATTTCAGAAGTTCAGACTATACTACCATTGTGCAAATATTTAGCTATCCCATCTCACTATAGACCAGGCCTCTAATTCTGATTTTCTTTTTATAGATGATCTTTCTGTGGGTCAGACACCAACCTCTAGAATACGCTTAGAGCAGACCTAATCAGTTCTATATTCATTTTTGAGCCTATAAAAGACTTGTCTCTGGAAGAATATCAACCTGGCTTCATTCCAGGATGTCTGCCTTCAGAGGAAACTCAAATAATATGGTATCAATGCGATCTGGTTTTCTTTCTTCCTCTTAAGGCGGTTTCTACATGTTTAAGACTCTGCCACAAGTTCCCTGTGTCTGCTGCTACCATCTGTCCTTCCTATTCCATGCCTCATTGGGAGATGCTAGCTCAAAAGCCAGCTGTGAAATAGAACATTCTGATACTTCGAGGCACCAAGAAGGAAGACACAGAGGGCACATTAAAACGACACCCAGCCTAGGCCTGAATCACAAGCTAACATTTTCCTCCTACACCTTTTCCTTCTGCATCAAGGAGTACCAGTGAGTAATGAGCATCCACACCCCAGGTGGCTCCTGGTTAGTGCCCTCTGTCTCCAGCCTTCTGAGTAAGTGCTAAAGCACTCTAAGACAAAAAGAGTCTGGCATCTGCGTGATCAAATAAGGAAAGGAAAAGCAAGAGATTAAATCCTCCAAGGAGGACAAGGATTTATGCAGAGTCCTCCTGTTAAGCAGGAGGAAGCAAGGTAGTTTCTGTAAGAACTTCATAACACGGGCAACTCAAACTGAGATGTGTTTCCCCAAGCCAGCCCAGGGCCCTAGCGCAAAGGAGAAGGCTGGGACATGAAGGGAGTAAAAGTCACATGGAGAAGGACAAGATGACTCAAAGCTAAAGGGCCAGAGCCCCCTAATGTACTCCTAAATCAACGACACAAGGCCATATGGAGAAGGACAAGATGACTTGAAGCTGAAGGGCCAATGTACTCCTAAATCAACGACACAAGGCCAAAATGCTCTAGCCACACATCTGAACCTAAATGCCTACAAAGCACTGCAAAGCTCCACTGAGGCATCTAAGAGAAGTGAGGGGCACAAAACCAAGTGTTAAACTGACGAGAAATTCACATGTCCATTCTGAATATACTCTGTAACCAAAATATCCTCTAGGAATTTAAAATCCTCTCTTTGCAGGCATTACTGCAATTCAGAAAATGACTTTCTACAAAGTTAAAGCATGTGAAGTTCAGCCCTACAGAGGTGAAGCATACGATGGTTATGCACATTGCCAGTCCTGAAGTTGCACTATATAATCTCATCTTGCCAAGACTTATTTCATATTCACTATGTGGTATTCAAAAACTAAAGTCACAACAGAACTCAGGATTCTTAATATGTGAGAATTTAAATTTCATTGTAAATTTGAGGCAGGAAAACCTCAGCAGAAGGTTGAGGAATACATGGCTTACAAGAGGGGGAGGGGGGGAGCACTTCAGAGAGACAACAGCAAATCCTATTTTGCTATTTTTGCTTAAATATGCCATCATTAAAATAGGGTTTCACCAAAAAGAAGCTTTTATTTTCTTTTTGAAGGACTTGCATAGTAGGAGAACGTAAAAACACAGATTCAACACCCATAAATATCCAAGGTAATTCAAGAGAGAAACAATTCTTCTCTACTGCAACATGGGCACAGTACATTTAAAGACAGGCCAGGTTTTTTGACAGTATAAGCTCTGCCACTCTGTCACTGTACAGCCCACTCAAACAGTTCTCTGTACGTTTCACACACTCTAACAAACAAACCCAACTCATAAAGCTCCCACCCATTACAGAGCTCTTCAGGTTTAACCTTTCAAAAAGGCCTTCTCAGAAATCGTTGGCTGATGAAAGCTCTAGGGCATGGGTAAGGGCAGCCTGCTAACTGAAATGTTCTAGTTCTCAGTTGTGTCCCTCACCCACAGTACGACCTTCCTCTCCTCATGCCACAGTTTCCCCATCTATAACACAACTCCTCTCTCAAGCACTAAAATTAGACATCAGCACTGTCATCAACCCAAAAATTCCATCTGAAGACTGTAACCCTGTGTTTACCCCAGCTGGCTGCACACCACAACCACATTTTCACAGACTAAAACTGTGCTCAGCCCCCAACTAAGGAATAAAATAGATGAGACAGACGCGAAGGGACCTCTTCACAGAGTACTCACTTTGAAACATGCCTGTCTCATCAAGACATCATCTTGACTCCAAGAATAGAATTTAGCCATTCATGAAAGTAAAGCAGTGCTCCCCCACATACTTTTCTCATGCCAATGTAGCAGGTTACTCAGACAGAAGGAGGATAAGAATCTGTTGCCCCAGGATCCCAACAGCATAAAAGTACTTCTCACCTAGGCAAAGGGATCATGCTCCAATTAACTTGACTGGCATTTGACTAAGGTGACTGCAGAATGCATAGAGACACCTTGGCACCTGCACCAAATGCAACAAGAACAAACCTTTAGGAAGAGGGGAAGAAAGTCCAGCAGCCTTCTCTGTTGCTCCTCTGGGATGAGAAATGGAGCCATCTGCTCATACTCTACAAACTGCCTGCCTAGAGTCTCCCACTGGAGTGGCTCGTCCTTGCTGTGTGCATGCTCTCCTGGAACTTCTGTCTTGTCTCCATCACCAGGGCTTTGCTCTTCCTGTCCTGCTTTGCCAGACGAAACCTCCAACTGCCACGTGAGCTCAGCTCCTTTCTCCATGCTGAAATGAGACCTGAAGTTAAAGATACTCTGTTATTTACAGTTAGCATCATCTCTTACCCGTCAACTGTCCCACGAACATAAACACTGACAGTCTTAGCTACTCAGCCCCTCTCCTATGAGGCATGTGTGTATGTGCTACACACCTCAACTGGTCTTTGGCAGAACAAACTGGTAAACCATACAGGAAACCCAGATTCTAGCCCCAGCTTTGCCACTGAGCCAGATCCTCTCCTTATACTTCAGTCCCCCTACTTGTAAAATAAATCATAACTATTACCATCATCAGATCTGGAACAGAAGAGGACTGCCCGAGAGCCAGGTTACACATTTCACTGAGAATGGATGCTAAACTAAGCTGCACATCTCTGATGCCTTCCCCACTTGGAGTGGGGCCGAAGCACTGGCTGGAACTGGAGCTGTGTGGAAAACCAAGTAATCCCCACATGGATGTGCTGGCCCAAATAGTCAGCATCATCCAGCTCTTCTATCCTGCAGGCGTACAGCTCTGTGCAAGAGGGAAGTATTTTCACTACAACATTACCTGGTTTGCTGACCCTGTAAACTGAAATGGATATGTCTCAGTGAAGGAGCTTCTAGCAGCCTCATTTCCATCAAATTGAATCTACAATGGGTCCATCTTGCGCTACAGGTAGAGGAATCCTTCTGGTACCCTCATCTCAACTCCAAGTCCTCTCCTCTACTTTCCAGCCCTGTTTTCATCCATAGTCTTCTGGGAGGTCACTGTCACAGCCTTAAATCCACAGCAAACCTACTCCTTTTCCATAGGCTTCTGTGAACTCACCCTGCTACCCAGAGCCTACATAATGACAACGCTTACACCAAGAGAAATTGTGCTTCTCCAGTTTCCACCAAAATCAGCCATATGCATACTGATGCCTAGGACATCATCTCACTACTCAAAATATGACACACATAAATTATCACAGTGTGGGCAGGCAGCTGGGGAGTTGTCACCAAGATGAACATAGCTCATCACTTTACTTACCAAATACATTGTCTTTTAAGAGCCTAGAAGAATCTTTAACACATCATTATACTTCCTCAAAGTAGAACACCCATGTACCTCCATTTCTAGGGAATAGGTTCCTCCTCTGTAGTGGCTCTTTGATTACCACTCTAGCTTGTCAATAAAAAAGTCAAAAAGCAAATGTAACTAAAAAACTGGGTCAGATCCTCTGCACTACCAATATATACACCCCTTAAAATAATTTTTAGAAAAACTATTATGAGCCTGGTTTCAAAATTCTGAGCCAACACTATTGTATTTGGGATTTTCTTCTTTTGCCATCCATCAGTTATGCAGTTTGCTTACTGCTTGCATCCTGCCCACACCAAGCCAGATAAACCAGTTTCACTTCTGTGCTCGGGCAGTAGCTCCACACTGCAGAGGTGAGGAGGGTGACCTTATCTTGTCACTGTGTACCATAGCACCCGCAGCAGGCTGATGGTCCCTGCAGACACCTAGGCTTGGATGCAAACATTGATCCTTCAAGCCACAGACGAGGGGAACTTATTCTACCACAGCCCATATTCCATCCTTCACTAGGAGATGGAGGGCTACAAAATTTTGGCCAGTCTCCAGGGATGTCAATCTGGAACTTCCTGCCTCAACAACATTTTGTGTTTTGCTGCTGTTGTTTTCCTTAATTATTTCTGTTAAGACAACACAGCCCTGTGAGCAGAAAAAGTGTGATGACTGTCTGCACAGAGTAAACAGGAAGACTGTTCCTCATGACTGTGTGGGAGTTACGTTTGTCATATGTTATACTTAACCCTAAAACGGGATTTCAGCCCACTCGACTCATTGTCAAGCTGTACAGTGTGTTAAGAAAGTCTGGGTACTGTTCTAGGGCCTTCAGTAAGCATGGTTCAGAGTTACTTCTTCAATGAGGTTGCTTTTGCATCCCAAATGGCACCATTCTCTTCCTAAGGGAAATCTCTCACCTTGGAAGCTACTCTGCTAAGTCTAAATAAATGCTAATTAACAAGTAACTCACTCCCACCTTGGTCATTTGTCTAGAGAAGCCCCAAATCCTTCACAGATGGTGAAACTGAGGCATGGAGAAATGAAATGAAGTGCTTATGTAGGCTTCAGGTCGGTGACTGACCATCAACATCACAGCTTGAACGGTACTGCACTGAATGGTGACCACCAATTTTCTCTCTTTCTACTCATAACTCACTTACCAGGCCTTTCTTGCTGGTGGCACCAGCTAAGGGAGGGCTGGTGACTCAAAAAATTCTCACTCTACAGATCTACGGAATGAAAGAGTTCTTCTCCTCTCCACAGAAACTATTAAAACCAGATAAGCGCATGCAACTTCATTAATGAAGACCTTAATGTAACAGACTATGTAAGGCATTCAAGGGTACATGGAAATCTTTAATCTCCAGAAGTACATGAAAGCAAAGTGAGGATTATGATTTGCCTCTTTATTTACTCCAACTGTCCAGATGACAAGGGGTATGTTAGACTAAATATCAGTCCTCTAGTATTAGTCTGTTGTCTCCACTTGCACTATCGGCTTTAAATCGCTCCTGCTCCCAATAGCCTTTTCCTTCTTGTTGCATCTACGATTTCATTCAGACTTCTAAATCCTTTGCATTTTTCACTCCTCTTGGAGGAAAACTATCCTTTTAGACCAGTCACAATATCACATTCAAGTACTTTTGGTATTAAGGATAGCTTAGATATTTTGAAAAGGTCTTATATGTTGGCTCTGTGCTACACCCCACCATTTGTCCTGATCCTCGGTGTAAATTAACGGTTTATTTCTGTTTTGATAAGTTATAAATATCAGAGTGATACAAAAAAGTAAAGTCTAAATAATAAAGATTTTAAAAGACATGAAAGTGAAAACATATCAAACAAACCTGACACTGTCATTCAGAAAGTAGTGTCAGGTAACAGAGAGGAAGTGGAACTTATTCATGGATTTTCCCTTTTATTCTAAATAAGCTTGTGTGAAATTTCACTGCAATGTGGCTACACCTCTTCAGACTGGCGAGACAAAAGGGAAGAAAGGCCTGACCAGAGCTGGCAGAAGGACAAGATGCAGAAGTTTGCTCATACACTTAAAATCATTTGTTATCAGAGAAGGGTCTCGTGGCAAGATAGTTGACTAAAACACAAATCAAGTCTCATACCAAACTTCAGAGTTTGGTCCACTTTTTATGGTAAGTATCTGCAAAAAAAAAAAATAAACCCAGGTATTTGAGCGTATATGGAAATCTTTAACCTCCAAAAGTACATGAAAGCAAAATGAAGACTACAATTTGCCTCCTCATTTACTGCAACTGTCCAGATGACAAGGAGCATATTAGACTAAATATCAGACCCCTAGTAGCAGGACTACCTGCCTTAAGTATTCCTTCTCCTAATAGGCTTTTCTTGACTATTAAAACCCAGAATTTTGGCGACTATGAGAAACACATGGCTCACAGCACCCCAAAAATGCACTGTGTGGTCCTTCTTTATATTCCCTTCCTTTCCTTGGCAGCCAAGATAAATCCGTTCACAAAACAGTTGTGCCAGTCAATAATTTTAAATGCTAATAACAGAGATTCCAATACCTCCACAGGAAAGCTGTGGAAAGTCTAAGCTGGCTGGTGCCTTGAGATACAAATAGCTGACAAAACACAAACAATAGAGAGGTTTTAAAACACTTGTCAGCTTGGATAACATTGAGCATCGTTCAAAGAACAAGTCCCATTTCAGTAGGACACAGCCCCTACTTTTTCAGCAATATAAGTATCATTTCAGCTTGTTTCAAGGTTTGACCTTATTACTACCAAAGGAGTTGAATTCATTTACAGTAGCGCTTCATTTGACCAAGCATACTTTTACCTTGAGTCTGTATAAGTTGGACAAGGCATTTCTGCAGTACAACCTCACAACTCATCAACTCATTTTCAAACACTTGACTGCATTTCTCTTCCTTTATTTCTGTTTGAAGAACATCTCCATGCAATCCGAAAGTAGCTATGAAACTGACTTAGGCTCTCCCTCATGTTCCCACTCTTCATTTTCTCTGTTTTAAGAAGTAGTTTCTAAATATCTAACTGCAAACAGTTTCTGCTCTGACTTGCACATACCCCTTCTGCAGGCAAGAGAGAAGCAGAGATACTGGGCATACTTGCTTTTGAGATGTGGCCCTCCTGGAAGTGATGTGCCCATCTCAAGAGCAAACAGAATGCTTCTGGTCTGTAAACAGACAATAGAGTTGTAACAAATTCAAAGGAACAAAACCAGGGCAATGATCATCTCAAAACAAGAGCTCATTGGAAAAGGACATGCGGTTAAACCATATCTAACAAGTCTTCACTAGCAGCAGCAACAGATAGAACTCTTACATCCACAATCCTATTATCCCTAGATTAAAGGATAGAAGCAAAGCGCTCTTTTTCCTCCTTGCACTGCAGTTTAGGGTGAACTTTGACTAAAAGCTCTGCTGTTTGAGAATGATCTTACCGCAACAAACCAGTTGCAGATAATACTGCAGTTTTCCTCAATAGTTAACAGGCAGTTCCTTTTGTTTTCACAGCAAATCTCTCGACATACCTGGGCTCCTAGGCTCAGCAGCTCCTGATGCAGGCAATAACCACATGCAGAGAAATGAGCTTTACGGCTGCTGTCCTACTCGGCATCTTGGTGTATGCAGCAGCTCCCACTCTGCTCTTTAAACTTTCCACTGTGAATCACCTGATTAGCTGCTGCACTTACTTCCTGAGGAAAGCAGAAGTGAAGAGCAAATGAACCACATGCTCAAGACCCACCAAGCTCCCAGAGCAACTTAGAACAATTAAGCTTATGCACAAACCTGGCAGCCATTGCATGCCTCTCCCTGGTTCAAGAATAACCAGTATTTACCCCCATATCATATGCACAAAGAAAAGGTGGGGTGGGACAGAACCTATGCCCAAAGGACAGGCAACAGTTGGAGTCCTTCCTCAAATGCAGTACCCTTAAAATAAGTACATTTGAATGCTGAGATGAATGCTAAGTCCTTGATCTCTCTACTAAAATGGTCAAGGCGGCTACTCAGACCAAAAGGCAAACACACACCATAAGCTCACTGACAACATAAAGGAGCTTGGATTAGCTATGGGGCTGGGGGAAGGCTACTTCTCAGTTTTATTCTCCCCTTATTCTTTTTTATTCTCCCTAATAACACCTCTGAAAGGCTTTATAATTGGTTTTTAAGGGGAGGTGGAGTTTAAACATTTTTACACAGAAAATTCAAGTGTTTCCTAAACTGCTTCTCCCCGAGAATTTTATGGTGACCTTGAGACTCAGTGGGATCATGGCCTTACAGTGGCTGAAACCTGAGGGGATTTTACCCTCCGTGGTTAAAGCCATCTGTTTTCTGCTAACATCTACTTTCACTCAAATCCCTGAAAAAGCATCTGGGGAAAAACTAACTTTGCCTTCTTGGTGTGAACCCCACCAAGACATGCTCAGGCCTGGCTGAGCTCAGTGCTGCACTGACGCTGCACTGCACTGACACAGCTTTGGAGTCCTCAACACAGGAAGGACACGGACCTGTTGGAGCAAAAATGCTCCGAAGGCTGGAGCCCCTCTCGTATGAAGACAGGCTGAGAAACTTGGGGGTGTTCAGCCTGGAGAAGACTCCAAGGAGACTTTATAGCCCCTTCCAGTCCCTAAAGGGGGCTACAGAAGAGATGGAGAGGGACCCTTGATCAGGAGTAGAGTGATAGGACAAGGAATAATGGCTTTAAATTGAAAGAGGGTAGATTTAGATGAGATATTAGGAAGAAATTCTTTGCTGTGAGGGTGGTGAGACACTGGAACAGGTTGCCCAGAGAAGCTGTGGCTGCCCCATCCCTGGAGGGGTTCAAGACCAGGCTGGATGGGGCTTGGAGCAACCTGGTCTGGTGGGAGGTGTCCCTGCCCAGGGCAGGGGGTTGGAACTCAATCTTTAAGGTCCCTTCCAACTCTAACCATTCTATGATTCTATGGACATGGCTGGGAGGCCTCTGGGCAGCTCTGAGCACAGGCTGAGCAAGCTCAGAGCCTGTGAAAGGCTGTGCCAATATCCACGAGGCTCAGGCCTTAGGACTTCCACTTTAGGCCATTCATGTATTCCCTGATATAATATTCACATACTCCCAGTTGCAATCTAGCCAAAACCACAGTGGTGAGATGAATAGAAGACACACAGGAGATGCAAAAAAGAATATTAGTACCAACCCATAGATAAAATAACATCATTGTTTTCCCTTTCCTAACTTGGAATCAAGCCTAAAATGTGTTCCACTTCTGCTCGTTTTGCATCAGTTTGACACAGCAGAAGGCCATTTGCAGCAGCCCCTCCATGCTGTTTGACCAGAGTTCCCCGGATTATTCCCCATCCAGCAGTGCCCCCCTCACTAGATGCTGCCAGGCCTTAAGCAGCCACACAGTCATTTGTGGATTTCTAAGCCACACAGCAGAAACGGAAGCACCGTTTCTCTTTTTCATCCTGCATGAACTGCTGATGGGGCTGAAAAGTCCTGTTTCAATACGCCCTTCCACTTAATCTCCGCTTCACTGGAGCAAAACAGCTGTAACCAAATCATCTGTAGTAAAAAATAAAACTCAAGAGCTAAAGACAAGCTAGTAGCTAATGTAGTAGCAGACCGTGCCACAGTGCTCTTTGTCAGTTGGGGCTGTTTACATTAACAACCCTTGCACTGTGCCTCCACCCACAAAAACAGAGACAAATAATTTCTTCATCCTTTTCCTCCGACTCTCACAGGAAAAAAGAAAAGGCATGTCTCCCACTACTTGCATTTGTATCTATGTGCCCGGAACCTAGTTCAAAGAACCTCCATCTTGGTTTAAGGTTTCTAGACAGAGCACTAGGAGCCAGCTCTACCAACACTGACTGGAAATGCCATCCGATGAGGGCACACTCTGAAGCAGACCATGCACAGCCCAATGGAGATCAGATGTCCTGTCTAAGCTGGACCTAAGTGGGCTTCCTGGGGCAAGGATCTGGAGATAACGACAAGGTCCACCTGTCTCACAGGATCAAAAAATGTCCCTTATGTTGATTCTCATTAAATTGAGGATGGGGCCAGTCTTTTTTCAGTGGTGCCCAGGGACAGGACAAGAGGGAACGGGCACAAACTTCAACACAGGCAGTTCCATCTAAACAGGAGGAGGAACTTCTTTCCTTTGAGGGTGGAAGAGGCTGCCCAGAGAGGTGGTAGAGTCTTTGTTTCTGGAGACATTCCAAACCCACCTGGACACGTTCCTGTGCAACCTGCTCTGGGTGGACCTGCTTTGGCAGGGGGCTGGACTAGATGATCTTCAGAGGTCATTTCCAACCCCATATCATTCTATGATTCTGTGAACTGCCTCTTTTCTTTGCGGCAAGTGGAAAAACCCAGTTTCATGCCTTTGTAGTAATGATACTACCCACGCTGAGGTGTCTTAGTGGTCCAGAATGGCTAGAAGCAGCACAACACTTCTCCAGCTTGAGGCTGGAGGTCAGCTACTGCAGGTTTCTCCTGAAACCCAACCTACAGTATATTTTGATTGCATTAGATTCACCAAATGGGCTGACTGGTCACACCAAGAGCAAACAAGTCCTCTGGCAGTTGCTGAGCAGTTGCCGTGGCCCGAGGGGCTGATAGTTCAGCCCCACTGCAAACTTGAATGGGATGGAGCTTTCCCCAAAAACCCTGCATTTTTCCCTTCAGTGAGTTTCTCTCCTTGTAGACATGAGACATAAAATGCAGCTGATTTTGCTGAGACAATACATTTTTGTGCTGCACATTCATAGCCTTCAAGCTAGAAAAAAAGCCAGTTAAACACACGCACCTTTTAACATTGCATAGAGTCCAAAAGTTGAGCTAGCTGCAGGGTTTTTTTTTTCCATTCTTCATCTTTCCTGCTAAAATCCAGCTATCCTCTTTTTTTCTCCTCGATAAAAAGAATGTAGATTAAAAAATGTTCATCAAACCGTTTTTCATTTCTTTACCACCACAAAGGGAAGCGCCACTGTTTCATTTTCCTCCACTCTTTTCCGTGGCAGAACAGAAGCTGACAGGGAGACCGCAGAGAAAGGCAATGCAAAACATTTAAACCATCTGCTTAACCATCGGTTTTTGCTCATCTTTATTTTTATTTTTTTATTTTTTTTCTCAGGGAACCTTGGAATCTGCAATGCAGGAGGTGCCAGGCGGCAGGGCCCGGCAGAGGTGGCCTCCCCACCTGGGCCTGCTGCCCCCCGGCAGCCCCTCCGCCTCTGAGGAGAGTCCGTGAGCACATACCCACGCACGGCCACGCTCAGATCATGAGGTAAAGTGTATATTTTTACACCTGCACAGATAGCTACACTTCAGCTTCAAATTAAGTGGGGTTTAGGCTGATGAAAGCATGAGACTGGTAGCTGGTAAAGATAAATCTGTGAGGCATTTCTCTGCCCGTTGCCTTGGACCGGAGCACTCATTTTGGATCGTGAGGCCTAGTTACACCAGGGGTTGGAACTAGATGATCTTTAAGGTCTCTTCCAACCAAAACCATTCTATGACTACTCTAACGCCATGACTGAAGGGCTGTAGAAAGAGGGCAGTTTGCAGTGTCAGTGCTGGAGTCAAGCTCCTAGGTTCTCTCCGGGAAGGAAGCCATTTGCTTCCCCTGGCAGATCCAACACCCTCCCGGCACCCAGCCCGCACCTCGGAGCAGGTAAGGTTTGTAACAGTGGTAGGAGGTGAGGATAATTCACTCCTGAAATTCTGCTGCTTCAAAATGTTTCACTGGAAATTGGAACAAATTCCCTCCATCAACAAAAATCTGTGAATCAAAATGGGATTTGTTTTTTCACCCGGATGCTTTGGTTGTTTAAACCGGCACGAACCAAAGTATATCCATTTTAGATCCATGCATCTTAGAGGTCAGACTGGAGCAGTGGTTGCCAGTCTTTTCCAGTCTGTTCCATCCTAAAGCAGTTTCCTCTGAACCCTTACACAGAAAGTGTAGGTCTGCTGCTTGACACCCCCATCCCTCCATCCCCTCTTGTCTCGTCTTTTTTGTCTCCTTTAAAAGTAGTCAGTGGTGGGGAGGGGAAATCACTGAGCTGCACAATCACAGAAACACCCTGAAGAATTTTAAACTACTTTTGGTTTTGTTTTGATTATGTGCATAACTAAATGCCACCAAAATTATTCTGAACTCAGTAAAACAGTATCAACTTTTAAAAACACAAGAAAAAAGAAGCCACATTTAAAAGTTGGTTCGTAACAAGAGTGAAAACATTCTTGTTTGAAACTGTTAGGCCCAAACATCTTGATCAAATGAACAGAATCTTTTTTTTTTCCCCCCCAGAAGAAAAAAAAAAAATCAAATATGAAAGTTCCTCTGGGAAGCTGCTATTTTGATTAAATGCCACCTACTGACTAGAAAAATGTTATGCAGGAAATTTTTAAGGCAGCTTGACTGAACACAGGATCTCCACACTGGAAGGCATGTTAGTCTAATGAGATTGAGGAAGTTGAAAGGCTAATGCAAAATATAATGGCATACCATTTCTCCCCCCTCCTGTAGCTCAGATTAACTTTCTACTACGGGATACCTAGGAATTCATTGTTTTCATGATCAACGCAAAAGTTGTCAAACAAAAGAATCACAATACAG